AATCTACACAGTGCACCTTCAAACATCAGTATGTTTACAGACCCTTCATGTGTAGCCAACATGCATCAGATCAAACGTCGACACTGGCTTTTCATGAAGTTTAAAAAGTGGGTAATTTTACGGAGTCAATACTTTGTAAATATATATCCCCTTGTGATTTGAACAGTATTGAAAAGCTATGATTGATATTTTCAGATTAAAAAAAACAATCGCATTTTGATCTGTAGCCATCAAACTGTGATCATAAACAGATAACGTTGAATATCAAAGAGCATCGTATCTGCCTTCTGCACAGGTTTGATTTTAACACATTTAACACGGTCCTGTGTTACTCATAAGTGTGTGTCCACTCTCAACATTTGACTTGAGCAAAACAAAAGCTAAGCTTAGCCACAGGCCCGTGTGGAGCAGCGCGGGAGCTCCGTTAGCACGCAGGTTTGACAAAACGCTTCATCTCTGCACAACTGCAAAGAAACAACAACAACAGCGTCATCTTTACCTGTGATGCAGGCGTTGACTGCGGTGGGTTTCTGGGCTGTTACCACGTAGTTGTACGACATCTTTGACAACAACAAAACACAAACACCAGAGAAGTGTTTTAATCCCACAAAACTGACAAAATCATTGAAAATATAACTCCCGGATGTAGTTAGCTGAGCCGTTTAGAGCATAGCACGACGACGAGAACGGAGGACACGAGACTTTAGGTGTGAGCGCCCCCTGTGGCGCGGAGGCATTATTATGTTATTATTATTTTATTTTATTTATTTATTGCACAAAAAAACATAAACATAATAGATCAATAGAAAAACTATGGAAGCCCAGTTAAAAAATAAAAATGAAAATAATAAAGTCATAATAAGGAGATAAAAAGTCAAAATTATTACATAAAAAGTCGAAATTATGAGATATAAAGTCGAAATTATGTGATATAAAGTTGAAATTATGAAATATAAAGTCATAATAATGACATAATTCAAAATAATGAGATAAAAATTTGAAATTATGAGACTATTATTTTCTTTTTTTTACTGGCGGAAATGGGCTTCCATAAAAAACAGACAGCACATAATGATTAGTTAATTAACAAACTATAAATTTTGAAAGAAATGTGCTGGAGGAGCCAAATAAACCCAGAGGGGCTTGTCGAGTGGCCCTCCTATTTGTCCCCAGGGTGGGCAATTCAAGGCCACACAGAGCAGTAAATTAACAACAGTGCAAGAACGAAACATTTTAACCTAAATATAAAGTGTCAATTTAAATACAACTTAAAGCTTAGACTTAACTTAAAAAATACAAAATATAAAAGAGTAGATATAAGTGGACAGTGATCGGACTAACAGATGAAAACAGATGTAACCAGAACTATGTGCAGTAGTGACCAGATGTAAACAGAACTATGTGCAGTAAACGAGAAATAAATATATATATACAGAGCTATGTGCAAGTAGGCTAAATACTAAATACTAAATGATAAGTTAAAGGTGCATGGTGAATAATGGAACAACAGAACTAATATAAACAATATAACTGTAAAGGTAAAATGAGATAAATAAAGTGGTCGTAGTGCAATGATGGATAAGAAACAAGTTGCTTATACATGTTCTGCCTACAACTTAATTACAACATGAGTATATCAATTTACTCTTAATAGTAATAATAATGATAATAATAATACATTAGACTTATAGAGCACTTTTTTGAATATTAAAAGAAATTAAATTCATTCGACATCATTGTTGATCCATCATGAAAGGTTCCACTGAGAGCAGTGACCCCTGCTGCCCCTTTAGTGTAACTACAGAGGAGCTCAAAGTTTAATATACTGAAAACAGTGGCAGGAAGAGACAGGGAGAAATTCTGTGGATTTCTTGAATACAGATTTAAATCGGTAGAACAGCGTTTTTAGTCGACCTTAAAATTGTAAAATTGCAGCGGTGCTGTCTGTCTGTTGTAAATAGCAAAGAATAAGATGTTTATTAGATTTTAAACAACTTTGATATGTTGTTGTTATCTTGTTCCGTTCTTCTCTGTCTTAAGAACTCGTATCTTTGATTTCTAATTTATTTTTCTACGATGGCCCGAAATGTTTTTTAAAAATATACTGTATGTATATATTGCTGCCCTGTCTATATTACAGACTGTACGTAAACACATCACCATGTTTAGCAACGTTGTCATGGAAACGTCAATGCGCGGTTACAACGATAAAGCATAACCGATCCAACGCTGCAACTTCTGCCAACTAACGTTTTGATCATTTGTCCTCAGAAATGGAGACACAGAGGAGAGGAAGCGACTTGAAGATAGAAATAAATGTCACGCGTGGAAATAACCCGGTAAGGTGGCTCATAGTTAGGTAGAGTAAGCGCAAATCAATGATGAAAATCAGCTGCACAACACATGCTAACAGGAGTTTAAAGGCCTTCAAACACAGACTGGAAACAGACTGTCGTCAAATTATGGTTTGAAGCATCTTTATAGGAAGAGGTCACAACATAACAACTGTTAGTAAGTAAGAAGTAAAAAGTAAGAAGTAAGCTTTCATTTGTATAATGTTTTGTTTCCTTTTATTTTTACTTAACTTCATGAGGGACTCAAGTAGTAAAAATATTACATATATGATATTATATTGCAGGACTTACAGAGGTGTGGATGACAGTATCCATATAATATTACTTTTTCTTTTTCTACCTAATGCTACTTATTCTGGGGGGGCTTTTTTCAGCAAGGAAAAAAGGAAGACGGTTTCCAGACTTTTCTGAAGGTTGAAGTTGATGGCAATGTGCTCGGGCAATCAGACCAGAAGCAATTCATCCCTGCGGAGGAGTGCGTTCACTTCGATTTCACCTGTAGTTTCCATTGCCCAAATGATGCTCAGGCTCTCAGTGGCATGGCCCATAAACCGATCATTCGTAAGCTGAGTTTAAAAACATCGTCCTGTCTTCTGATATCTGATGTAACTGATTGTTGAGCCATTCAGCTTCAGTCACATGTTTTTGTTTTTTTTTGTCAGATGTTGTTATTTCTTATTATTGTGTTCTGCAAATTAGCCACCGTGTCTCAATTGAAAAAAAAGCACTTGTTAGATGTGAATGGTTTTGTGTGATCAGTGACGGTGACGGAGATTCTGCCTGAAGACAAGAAAGTTAAAGTGAGGACATCTGTGCTGGGTCAAGCTGTGGTTGACCTGCTGCCACTGTTACAAGGTATAGCTATATCTGCTAGTCACATGTTTTCATATTTTAAATTGAAACCTTACTGGTTAATCTCTCTTAATGAAAATTGCTTCATATAGAAAAACTAAAATTGACTTCAAAGAGTTTGCATTTAAAATGTTGAATTTGTTTTTCTTCTGTCTGAAGGTCAGTGCAGCTTCTTGAGCAAAGTCCCATTGAATCCAGTGAACAACTGCACGGCCAAGGTGAGAAGTGCTTTTCAGTTAAATTGCAAACTAAAAGTGAAGTTAATTATATCAATCAGTTAATATTAAGGCAAAAGATAGACCTGTCATATTCTCAGTATTTTAACACTTTCTACAACAAATGTGTTCGTGTTGTAGAAAAGTACACATGACGTTTTTTTCTTTGCTAATTACATTCAAAATACAGCAACTCCATCGTACTGCACAGTGTAAGCTTATTTGCGGCCATGTTAGGTAGAGGGTGTGACGCTCAAATGTTGCATATTCCTGAATAAAAAACTGTATAGATATATTTTAATATTAACATGTATCATGATATCGGACTGAATTCCTTTCCTTCAACCCCTGGTGGTTTCATCCAGACAGCTTGTAGATTTAGACGGGCGGTAGTTGCTTCTTTCTGATTCCTCTATCAGTGCATGTTTTACAATCACAGAGCAGCCAGAATGAGGACAGAGCAGTTAGTGCCAAAAGGAAGTGGATGGCCAGCACAGCCCTTTTAAAGTCCAAGAGGAAGGTAAATCCATGATAACTCACCAGTGCAGGAACAGTTACAGTGTGGATACATATGTAACCTTTAACATGTCAGAGAAGAACACATTTACTGTCACATGTAGAAGCTGTGGCTCTAAGAGGGCTGTAGGGCATGTTTATCATACAGCATCGAATTGTGGTGCTAATGAAAGGTACAGATAAAAACCATCATTGTGTTTTTTTTTCATTAGTCTGTATAACTATCACAAATGTTAATATGTTATGTGGTTATTTGTATGAGCTGGCTGCCAGTTGAGGATGATAAGGTCACACAAGAGACCAGTAAGGACTACAGTGTTTGACTCAGGCGTTCACAATGATTTCAATGTCACATAACTGTGACAACTTGACATTCAGGTATCATCACTTCTCCCTCATCACTATAACTAAATACTAATAACCTCAAACTCTGCATAGCGGATTTAATCCCAAACCAGAGAGAAATATAATACAAATGTTCACTGAGACCAGTAGGCCAAAAGTATAAATTAGTTCATCGCTGACTATTTAAAAACATGATGGTTCCTCCTTACGATTTGACTCCCTTTAGCTAACAAGCCTGGATGTATGTGTCAGCGTGTCGGAGCCAGTGTTGTCTGAAGCTCAAATCACAGCCTCCAACCTGCTCAGAGTAACGGTGGAGACAGCTTACTCTGTCCCTGAAGCATGGCTGCAACAAACTGGCCCCGCCCCGAGTGTATACACTGCTGCACTGGAGGTCCCGCTTACTGCAGAGGTTAGTGTTAAACTCTTTGTTTTATGGAGCTACTCTTTGGTGTTTTATTTTTGACATATCCTATTCCAATCTTATACTCTTTGGTTTAACTGTTTAAGGAAAGTGTATATCTCCAAAAATAAGGGATGGTTTTAACTCTCAATGATCTAAAATTTATGAGCATTAAATCAATCAATCAAAATAAAACAGAATAACCTAGCTGTCTGATTCAGACTAACTTCAAATGAGAATCTCTCCAGGCTGAGGGACTTGATCACTGTGGCTGTACTATTCCCCTGACTCTTAGCGAAATCAGGCGCTGGTGTTCTCTGAAGGGTCTTTGAAGGAAGGGGGGCTACCGGAGGAGCAGGGAAGACAGAAGAAGAGGCCCCACCAGGCCCTGTTGGCCCCTAGCAACCACTTCCTGCATGGTGTCTATTTCCAGAAGGAGCCCATAGAATCAGAGGACGGCGAGCTGACTGGTATAGAGGTACTGTTTTTGCAAATGTATATCTGCTCCTGGTAACAGTTGTTACCTGGTATACTTTGATGCACTGATCAGTTTTACAGTATGACACTTTACTGTCTTTTATTTTAATATATTCAGCCATGTTGATGTGAAAATGTCACATATCTACCTCTCATTTGATAGACCTTTTAGTTACATTATACATCAAGCCATCTGAGACACAAGCTAAGCTAGTGACAAAACTGTAGATGACGGGATGAAATAAATAGACAAACATGTTCATGAAGGCAAAACCATTAACGTATTCAGTTACAAGCCTAAAGGTGTAAATGTTCCTTCAGGATGCAGAGTTTCGTAATGAGGCAGAGACCATGAAGACCAGGGTTAGCTGGGACACAGAGATGTGCTGCTTCCTGGATGCAGGAGGGACAACCAGGTCAGTTACACACACGACTCACCCCTCGACGTTATTCACCATCATGTTACATGTTGACCAGACTCGGGATTTCTTCTGAGAAAAGGGGAAGCATATTAGAAGTATGAGCACTTTCTTGGGGCTAAAAATATCTACAAATACCACATTTCAGGATCATCGCAGAGTGTACTGGAAAACTTGTGAAGCAGTAAATAGAATATAAACACATGAGAGGAGAATAAGAGAAAATAAACACGCACAAACATACAATTACTGTACAGTAATACAATGCAACAATACAACAAGCAAAAAGGATTTACTGATAAGGTTGCTAATATATTAGTGTTGACTTTAATTTCAGGCTGCGGCAGAAGGTCATTGAAAGCAGACTATGGCCTCTGGAGATCATGAGGTCATCAGCTCCACTGGGAAAGGTTGCAGAAACCAAACTGGTAAGACAGCTTCGTTTTCTAATGATAGGTTTGGAAACATTTCCTCTCCAGTGTTGCTCCTGCAGCGTAACCCCTTGATACAAAACCCAATATAAGACATTTCAAGCAAACAGAATACATACACAATCTTTTCAGGCATAATCATTCTATTTTAAGTAAGCTAATGGGATGCTTAAGTAGAGGCTCCAGTAAATATGCTAAGTAACAAATTTAAGAATATTTACCATCTTTCTTTGTTTGGAAACATGAAGCAAAGACCAATGAGAGAACAGCATCTCCATCTATTATATTTACACCTGAGTGTCTTGGTATTATGTTTTGTGATTCTGTATATAATATCTAAATCAAGTGTTCACACGCTATAATTAGTTTCACTGATAAAGGCAGAAAGCATTCTATTTCTCTCAGATTGAATGCATCTGTTCTTTACACTATGACAGTTTGCCTGAAAGATTTCTGAAGATAGAAATATATATTGAAATGTAAGCCCTGTCACATTACATATTGTATCAGATACCGGGCAATAAACAGCCCTATTAGAGTGTGTTGATATGCATGTGTGTGTATGTGTGTAGCCAGATGAGGAGAACCTAGAGATCCCCTTCCATGGTGTGGCGTTCGTAGACATGGGGAGGCTGCTGGGTCCTGGAGTCAGGCGCATCAGAGGAGCGTACAGCATTCAGCCATTCTCCGAAGCCGAGTTACGAAACAAGGTTGTACAAATGTACGCACATAAATCATTTGCCTTTATATTTTTTGTTTTTTTGCTTTTAACTTATAGCTCTCTTGATCAGGGTTGTTTATTACCTCTATCTGGAATGTTATATTAGAAAGTCTGAATGACCAACACTGAAATGGTTTTAGGCTCTCATTTTTAATGAAGCACTTCTTGAAAATAATAGTTGGAGTACTTAAGTGGAGTCTGGCAAAATGAGTTCTTTGTCTCTGTGTCCAACTAAGTCAGTGGTTGTATTCAGCTCAGTCCTGCTATGTGATACATATATATAGCCTAAACTAAAAAGTATGGTGTGCCATTTTATGTAAATATTATTAATGATGTGTATATTGTTGATCAAATCAGAGTTTCATAACCCTTTGCAAAATTATTTGAATTTGTACAGTTTGAATGATTTACAGTAATGGTTAAAGGAACAACAACACAGAAAGTAATGTCACTAAACAGAGCTACGATCTGGATTAGAAAACTGCTGCTACAAAACGCTGAACGCACTCAGAGAAGATGATACAGCTAGTAAACTCTACAGAGAGCAAACTCACAACTTCCCTGCAACCATCGTTTAAATCACTATCTTTGAATCCTAGAAAGTACACTGAATGTCTGTGGGCGTCTTTTATGTGGTTTGATTCAAGCCACTTTGTTTGGTTCCCATTCACACAGTCTTGACATAACCAGGGCTGTGTACAAGCACAATATCTTTTACAGTGCATAAACAGAGCAGACATCCAGCAACCCTAAATACTTACATTAGGTTAAATTGTCAAAATCAGTTTGTCTTTTATCTTCAAGGCCAGACAGAAAGTCAGTGTGTTAAAGGAGCAGGCCAAGGCTGCAGCCAATCTGGTCAGATCTCGTGCCAGCTCATCTGCAGGTTCTTACAAGGCCAGGGCGGGAAAGAACAAGGTGAGCAAGGTTGCAATGCTAAATGCTTATTGTACATTAATGTTTTATGAACTAAATTTACAGGGGATTGGATAATTTTAACTTGTGTACTGTAAAACACGTCCTATAAAGTTCTCAAAGCTTTCTCTGACATAAATGATTTCACCACAATGTCTGGTTCACCAGAAGTTTCACCAAACTACAACCTTGGAGGTCTCAGGTTTTGTTTGTAGGGTTCGAAACGATTGAACCTGTTTTTCATTTTGCAGCCACCTACTAGTCAGAGCAAGATGGAGGGAGTCACCAGCGTGTCCCATAGCCCAACCGAAGCTGAGCCATACATCAATATGGAGGGAAATGTAAGTTTACTCTAAACAGCAACACTACTCTGTACAACAATATTAACTTAACCCCCCCCAGCTCACATCCTTGATACTTTAATATACACTGAACATGTGGTCAGTTTACATGTTTGCTGTTATGCAATATTTTGGTTGATTACAGATGTATTTGGAGGCCAGAACTTATATTATCATTGAGGTAGCCTTGGACAAGCCACTGGTACCAAAAATCTCACCAGAGGAGCTGGCCAGGAGGTAACAGTTTATATAAATCTTCTTACTTTCTATTGGTTGCACTGTCTTGTTAGATTTAAGCACCTGCAATCGTGATATATAAGATATGAGAACTCATGAGATATTATTAAAGCCAACTTCTAGAGTCATCTAGTTTTACAATGATATCTTACTCATTAATGGTGCCAGTCTAATAGTGTCATGTTTAAACCCCTTTACCAACTGCACTCTGGTCTTTTACTGTTGGCCTGTTGGGTTTCGTACTGTATGCTGAACAAAATAGAATCTGCTAACATGATTCTCTATTTTTCTTCAGGGTTAAATCATTGATCCCTCCCAGACCTCTGCTTCCAGTGGGCCCTAGCAGAGCAGAAAGAGTAAAAAAACATACCCTGTTTTAGTTTTACAGTACATTCACAGATACACTCACCAGAAGTTGAAAGATGCTTACTTCTTGACCCTTCCCATGGCTGTGTGCTCCTGCAGGCAGTGCTGGGATTCCACAGGCAGGTAGGCAACGTCGTGAGCCATGTTTCAGACCAGTACAACGAATTGTTCGGAGCCACCCAACCATCGGATGCCTGTAGCCGGGAGAAAATGATGGTTCAGCTCATGGGATCACTCAATGTCTCTGGCAGATATTTTGCCTTCAAGGAACAGATGAAGGTCAGAAAAACTACACTGAATGCTGGAATGATAAAACTTTAAGGAACTCTGTTAAAAAAAAAATTCTGTAGAAGCTTCAGCCCCTCAGGTTTTATGTCCTGGGGGGTTTTGGCTGTTCTGTCTCTTTAACACTACAAAACAGTGTGTACTTGTTTCTGTTTTTTAGCCTGCAGTGGTGCGGATTGTACGTGACAGGATGCAGCGGACAGAGGCGTTCACTGACCCTCAGGAGCTCAGGGCCTTTGTCAGCAAGCTCTATGTCTACCTGGTGGATGAGATGAAACATGCTCTAAACAAGGTCTTTCATTCAAACTCATACTCAAACACACACATTCATATACTGCACAATCTTTTAGTTTTTATCCTTGCCTCCACACCAGATTTATTCAGACGACGTTGATGATGACTCCCAGGATGAGATCCAGTTGAGTTCTTCACAGCTAAGACATTTTGCCAGAGAGGCTCAGCTTACTGGGGATTATCAGCATGCTGCTCACTACTTCCAAGAGGTACAATGATATGCTTGCCTTTTCTAACACTTCTTCTCTTCACTCTGTATAAATGAGGAACATTTTGCTGAAAAAGTCACATCTCTTTTGTCCAGACTACGTATACTCAGCCATCCATTGTCATGTTTAAGAGTAATTAATAACAAATTACTTGCCGGTACTGAGTCTAGCTGGGCAAAATATGAAAGTGGACATTGAACTTTTTCTGTAACCTTGTAGTTAGTGGTGAGGCACCCATATGAAGCGTCATACAAGTTTGATTGGGGAAGGCTCTTCATGCAGAAAGGAGACTACATGAAAGCTAAAGAGTGTTTCCATGAGGCCGTGTCTGTTCAGCAGGAACACCAACCCAGGTAAGAAGTGCTCTAGTTCCACTAAAAACAAAAAATATCAACAGGTTTTCAAACTTCAATTTAGAGATATCATTAGTTTATATCAAGAGAGGAAATACGAGTCTTGCTTTCAAGAACCACATGAGCGCACCACTGAATACCTGAGTGTGCAAACATTGTCTCAGAATTATTTATCCATCCAGAATGAAATAATTGTCAAATGAAACAGATCCCCACTTAGCTGCAGTTTCCCCTTGTTTGCTCTTTATCACTGCTAATAGGCATTGCAACGACATTAATAAACTCTCAAACTCAAGCAGTGCCTCTGTTTCAAACTGTGTGACAATACACATTTGTATCATTTCAAATCTAAACAAAAAGGTATAACATAACAAAGGGCGAAATCTTGGAACTAATAAGTCAAGATTATGTCTGTATCCTCTTGTAATTCCAGCCTGATGATGTGTGGGGTTCTGGCAGCAATGTTTGAGAATTTTGACGAGGCTAAGACCTTCCTGGAGCGAGCCACCAGCATAGACCCGCCTAGTGTGGTGGCCTGGACCCTGCTGGGTGAGATCACAGTGTCTATTCCTACAGTACCTACTGTGGTTTAAACAGTGAACCTGCTCAAAACACAGAACACATACATGAATGATCGTGCTGCCATACAGCTAGGGCTTAGTACAATCACAGCTACAAATATAATATATTATATTTTTACTTTATTCAAATACAATAATGTGTCCCAGTGTTTCACCACCAAAATCATTTTGGTTCATCAGTCTTGGACAATAAAACATGTATTAGTATAGTAGCAGTGCAGTTTTTGTCTCAAACAGTGGTTTTAAGGGGGCGCCAGTGGCCTAACGATTAGTGCGCATGCTCCATGTACAGACGCTACAGTCCTCGAGAGCAGGGAGCCCGGAAACAAATCTGACCTGTCGCTCCTTTCCCTCACGTCATACCCCACTCTCTCTCCCTGGTTTCTGACTCCATCCACTGTTCTGCCTCTAAAATAAATGCATAAAAAGAACCCTCAAAAGTGGTATCAAGTGATTTTTACAGCCAAAAGGAGAAAAAACTGTTAGTAAACACACAAAATGGTAAATATCTCAAGTATCAGAAATCAACGCAGATGTCAACATTTAGCCACTTTGGTCATGTAACATTATATTAGTCCTAAATCAATCAAAGTCGAAACTTTCCAAAAACAGGAGAGTTGCATGTTGGGAGTTTTATATGTTCATTTCACATTTATGAGTCTGCTGTCCAGGTTTGATCCATGAGAGCCAGAACGAATCCATCCTAGCTGATTGGGCTTTTCTGGAGGCCAGAAAGCTGCTGAGGCTGAATGAAGCAAAGAAACAAACACAGAGGGAGGGGGAGGACAAAGACAAAGAGGACAAGAAAGAGAAACAAAAGGACAAGCCAGAGGAAGTAAAGATGGAAAAGTCTCCTGATGCTGAGCAAGGTGAGATGCACAGGGGGGTAAAAAAAAGAAAGTGCTCTCTTTGGTTCTGACCTTTGTTCTAACTAACAGATCTGCAGTGTGACCCATTTCAAATTATCCATTGAAAATCGTTTACATTCAGTTAAATTATCTGAACAATGTCAAAAAGTAAATTTTTGTTGTGAAAATGGCATGTTCTCGTATGTTTTTGTTTATTTCTGTTCCAATGCACTTCCTTATTTTTCTTCAGGAAGGAAACCACACAATGTTGATAAAACAGTGTAATAATAATGTATAAATGGTGTAGATGATCTTTGTTGAGAAAAAATAACCAAAAAGGGACTCAGCTTTTCACTTCTTAATGTTGTCTGTTTGTTGAAACTCTGAAAGACTGGCATTTTGAGTTCTTGGAGCGGCCATTGCTCTCTGACAATATTATGTTTTTTTCCTAATAGACCCAGAGTGTGGAAACCAGGACTCAAACAGGCTAGGACAGCCTTCAGCACAGGGCGTCATGCCCAGACCAACTCGAACTAAACCCTCCTCCACCATTTACACAGAGACAGTTCAGTTCTTGCTGCACAACTTTGCCCTACAGGTAAAAACACACACACATCTATATATATAGCGGCTGACCTCACCAGCTGGACACACATTGGTAAAATATGAATGAAACAACCTACAATGTAGAGTATTCCTGTTTGTTTTCTTATTTTACTTACTTGTTTTCTTACTTCATGCAGCTGTAGGTGCAACAGGGATTTATGTCAGCCATTAATGCTCCAGCATGTGGACAATGTTAGTTGGTTGTGGGAGAGTCATGTAAAGTGGAACCACTTTTCTGACAGTAAAATGCACAGAAAGATTTTAAAAAATATAGGTATGAATTTTTAGCACAGCAAAAGCAAAATACAACAGCAAGAGTTGTTATTGTACATATGCTTTATTAGTACCGGTATTTCTTTTAAATAGTGGCAAACTTGAATGCCTTAAGATTGTCAGCAGAGTTTCAGAAAAGATCAAACAGAAAAATAAGACCCTGTTATCATCTGTCACTGTTTTCATTTTGTCAGATGGTGGAGCGTGCTCTGTCTCAGGAGCTGCTGTGTTTAGATGGAGGTCACAGTTTCTCCTATCTTCTTCATCTGGCCCAGTGGCAGCTGCTGAGAGCAGACTACTGCAGTGCCATAGCCAGCCTGAGGGAGGCACTGTTTTACAGAGAACAGGTACTCATACTCTGACTACTGGCTGCCCCCACTACATAATGTCTGAGTGGGAGATGTATCATGCATGGTTCACTGCTGTACTGCTCTTTTGATGGGCCCTGACCTGAAAGGTGTATTCCAACCTGTAAATAGGAAGCAGATGCCTGGGCTTTGAATGGTCACTGTCACTACCTGCGTGGGGCCTATACTAATGCCCAGGAGAGCTACGAGCGGAGCCTGAACTTCCTGCAGCAGCCGTCAGATTCTCATATTGTCCTACTCCGTCTGGGAGCCATCTGCCTTCAACAGGGGAAGGTCAGCTATTGAGAGCAACCTAACTGCTGTCTCCTGGGTCAGACAGTTTAGTCATGTGTATTGTGTCTGTGGATGAGTCAGAGGAGGATGTGTTTCCAGGAAAGACAACAAGTTTAATCAGTCAGGGTTTTGTTCCCACCCCAAGGTGGGGCTCATGTGCATCTTGGGAAACTCTTAAATACTGTGATAAAGCAATGAAGTCACAGTGGGATTTATTTTCTACTGCTGAACTTCCCGTAAGGATGAATGGGTTTTACTAGTGCTTTGCTTTCAGTGATTGTGTATCACTGTTTGAGTGTGTCATAAAAAGCATTGTGCTCAAGAAACCATACAGATATCACATTGTTTGAAATTCAATTTAAGTTGAAATGTATTGTTATAATTGTCAAACAAATTACATGAATCAACAATTTACTAAATCTCTCTTGTGTGTTTTAGTTGGAGCAAGCCAAAGTTGTCTTCCTGCAGGCTTGTGAGCAGTCACCATCCTGCCTGACCTGGCTGGGCCTGGGTACAGCCTGTTACCGGGTAAAAGCAAGCTGAAAATAATCTCAATTTAATTTAGGATTTTAAAGAATCTGAAGCAGTCTCATTCCCATGTTGTATGTTGTGATAATACAGTTTTAGAAGTTATTAACACCAGGACTATTAGCCTCAGTTTTGTGTCTGTGTTGTTCTTATTTCTTTTCTCGTCTCTATTCTTGGATGTGACATATATATAGGCAACCGATAAGACTCATGTAGTCTAGTCATGGAGATGGTGGTACAAAACATTATAAACATGTGTGGAGAGAAGTCAGCCATGGTTTAATTTGCGGATGTATTCTTTTTTGGCTGTCTGTGTAGCTGGAGGAGCTGCATGTCGCTGAGGACGCTCTGACTGAGGCGAACCGCTTGAACAACCAGAACTCAGAGGTTTGGGCTTACCTGTCTCTGATCTGTCTGAAGGTGAGTGATAATGATGCTCTAAACTAAAGAACGCCTGAAAAATGTGTCCAAGACATCATGCCTTTCCTTAACACAGGAAACACAGCTGGTTTATCCTTTGGTCATTAGTCTCCCACAGTCCCTTTCTCAACAATCATATTATCTCGGCATATTCCTCGTCCAGACTAAACCATTGGTTTGTGAGGAAACAGTAGTTTTACTTAAAGGTTGACATATTATGCTGAATATACTTTACCATGTTTATGAAACACTCATATTTGCCCCTAGTCTGTCTACAAACCTCCCAATTATGGGAAAATTCCTCTACGTCTTTTGCCTGCTCCACTTCAGAAAATGTGTGCTCAAACAGGTTGACAGATAACAGATAACAGATTTTCCCTGTTATGACATCACAAAGGACAGAACCCCTCCCCCAGGTGGGTGACACTCCCACAGCTAAGTGTTTGTTCTGCCCTTTGAATCTGCCTCTCCACTGTAAACAATCGAGCAAGGGTGCAAGAAAGCCCAAGCGGCCCAAGCCCTTCCAGAGAGGGGCGTGGTCAGACACAGAAAATGTACATTTAAAAAAGGCATCACCTTTTCACCGTCTGCAAACAGATTTTGTTTCCAGAGTCTCAGTGACATGAATTACTTTGTGATGAACTATTTGTTTCAGGCTGGCAAACAAGAGGAGGCAGAGCAGTGTCGCAAATATGCTGCAAGGGTGAGTTAGTGCTGTATTTATCTATAATGGTGATTTTAGAATAGGGATAGTATTATATCTATGAGCTAGGAATTTATTGCTGAATATATTGATAAGGTTTTTCTTCTTTTTGCACATTTGGTTTAGTTTTATTGTCATACAAGTTAATCAAGGCCTCTTTATTTCTAACTAATTTTGTCACAATGAGTTCATTGAACTTAATAAGTCTGTGTAATGTGAGACCTGTTTGAAAGTTGCTTTCATTTCACACAAAGAAACTGCCATCATAAAACAACCTTTTCTCTTCTTTCATATAAAGTTCAACCTGCAGAACGAGTTGCTCCTGAAGGAGTTCAGTGACCTGAAGGATCAGCTCCGCTTCGGTCATCTGGAGTCATGCTTTTCAGCAAGCTCTGAAGCAGGGGTTTAAATCATAAGACAAGTATGTTTCCTACATACAAACAAGAACAGTCTTAATGACCGATGTTTAAGGACTTTTTGTGGTCATTGATGTACTGTAATGTATAAATATGTGCAATTGTTGTGACAATGAACCACGGCCAGCTCAGAGAAGTAGCTGGCCAAGCCATAACAAAGTGAATCCTCTTTCAATATTAACATTACAAACAAACTCAAAGCAACACTTCAAATGTATATAAAACAACAGAAACATATTCCTTTATTAAAAAATGTACAGTGTTAACAAAAGTAAAGAAAAAGGGCATATGGTGAGTAGAATCAACTGAATATCTGTCTCACTTTTCTTTTCGTTTTTACCCTGTGAACGACAAAACACTCTGGCCTTGTTGTCGAAAAAAAACCTCACCAGTTTTGGCACAATTCAACCTGCATTGGAAGGGAGGTTAACTTGAAAAGGTTTGAATTCTAAAGTAAATGCTATTGTGATCTGAAATTCATTTCAAATAATTTTGATACACTTAATTGACCCCTTGGGGAAATGTGTTTTGAATGTTCTATACCTTTTACATACCCTTTATGAAACTGGTTGCAAACTGAGTTTTAACTTATGGGTTTTACATGTGTCATCATTACACTTGTTCCACTATGTGCTCTGTTGCAGCGAGATCACTGTCTTGCCCGAACAAAGACCTCTCGTAGCCACGGCGAGTCCTCATAAAGTCGAGGGTCACCCAAATACTCTGTGGTCCGCTTGTAAAAGTAGTAGTACAACACAGAACCTGCAAAGGAGAAAAATACAGAGAATATGATTCAAAGTCGAAGGCGTTTTGAGTGAGGCTGACTTTTGTACCAATGCACAAAAATGTAAAGGTTGATTTTCAATGATAATACTATTTTAACTAACAGTTTTAATCTAATGCTGAATAAAATGTGGACAAAAATAGCCTTTAAAAATAAAACTTCATATTTGAATGAAATGACCATGTTATCGTTTTTCTTTTCTGTCTAGCGGTTTTACTAAAAATCACACATCACTGGTGTAAACCCTTGTCTTGATTTGTTTAGTTTGGAAAGTTTACTTGCTATATTAATGTGAAATATTGTCAAAACCATCAGCTTGCCAAATTTTAGAAGTGGAAGAATTCATGTGACTCATTTCAGTTATGATGTATTCATTAATTCAAACTCATTTTTGATTCATTCGTTTCAATGTGTGATCCCAACACAATAACACACGACATGACACATTTTCTCATAACACTAATAAACTGTCCATAAACAAACAGGAGCAGGAAGAGGAAAATGAATAATACCTGCCCCTTTCTTAGTAACATTTGTAAAACCTGAGGGATGGAAATTGGAATTGAAATGATCAGAAATGTAAATGTTAACAATGGGACACTAAAATATATGAAAGACCTTTTTGCCATTTGTAAGCCAGTGGTATCAAGGTTACTAGGGGCATATTTTGTAATTGTACATTCACATTAGCATTGCAAACACACAGAGAAATGGAAAACACCTAGCAGAAAGTAAGAGGTATTTGTAGGATCATAAAAGAACTCAGCCCAGCACACTTCACTGTGCCGTTAAAGAGGGCTCATAACCAAAGAGATTTGATGTTGCTCCACTGAACTACACACTGAGTAATCGTCTGAGTGCGTCCTAAGTGGCAGACAAAACAAAGCGTCAGATAAAACATGGCTGCCGTGTGCAGTCATATTTAATAATAGAGAAGAACAACAATAAATCTCTTTAACCACTTATGAGCTTATACATGTATGAAATCACACCCACATGGAAGTGTTGGATCACTGCCTGTAGAAAGACAGGAGGGGCTTTAAGGAGGGACTATCTATCCATCCATTAATCCATTTTCCTCTGTTTATTCGAGGTTGGGTTGTGGTGGTAGCAAGCGCAGTAAGTCAACCCATATTTCCCTCTCCCCTGCAACGTTCACACTCAAAACCATTTGGTTCTATTCTTACCATTGGCAAAGTAAAAGAAATGTGCAGTCGCTCAGTCTACATACAAGACAGTGATTCAATGAATAGTGCTGAAACTCGTAAGTAATTGTTACATGGAAGCCTAAAAAAGAGTGGGGGAAATGACGGTGTAGTGTACGTAGTTCTTTAAGTAATAACTATGTTAATGTTTCTTCTGAAATTCAGCAGTCGCTCTTTTCAAATGTTGCTGTATCGGAAATAATTTGACATATTACCTTTTAAAGTACAAATCACATTAAGCAGAAAGGAAACACAACATGATCAGCTGTTTTCTGACCCGTGTTAATTCAGCATGTCTCAAATCCAGATGTAAACCAAGTAAATCAGAACACACCATCATAGAGTCTCACTGAGCTTTATCCTCAGAGAAAATTTGATTTGACATTCAATATAACGCTCTAAAGGCAGCTTCAAATTATTAGGCTTCTTTGTTTTGGCATGAAGAAAACACCAGCAAACACATGGTTTGCTATAAGAAGAAAAAGTTATAAATAATCTTACCGACTCTTTGGACTACAAACAGCACCTGAAGGCCATCTGTCCAAATAAATCTGTTGCTATTTAGCCAGCGCAGATTCTGGAGAAGAAAATGACAGGAAAAAATAATGATCATTCCAACTTCACAGCTCTTTGTTACATAGAATCAAATGAACAGAAGGCAAATAACTCTTGATCCAATTACACTCCCTGTGAGACTGGTGGAAAAACTGGACAAGATGGGCTGTGTGAGAGTTAAAATTTTCTATTTTAATGTATAAGTCACATTTAAGCAAATTTTATTAAATCTATAGTATTTCCAACCCTCATGAAGTCATATATTCATCAATATCAATTAATTTATTATGTACATTTATAAAAGTGCAATAAGCAACATACAAAGTAAAATGAATAAGGACCTATTTGTGCACACACAGCACGTACCGTAAGCCAGGAATGGAGTACGATACTGAAGGTCAAATAGAGAGCAGAGAACATTAGCAGAGCTCTAAACCGCTCCAGCAATATGGCCACCAGGCCGATCTGGAACACGAAGGTGTTAAACAGCATCAACAGAATGATGATCACGTTGAACAGGATGGAAATGTCCTGCATACTGTTGAAGAAAAGCAGGGAGGGGGAGTGTTACCAGCAGAAACAATAGGGAAAATAACAGAAAGGACTAGACGCTCTTTGTTCACAGTTCTTTCATTTCCACTTCAGCAGTTAAGATGGCTCAGAAACAACAACTGAAGCAGGCTATTTTAAGCTCAGAGTTTTTCCTGTGGGGTAAAAGATAATACTCTGCTGCAGAAATAGTGAGGAAGTCTTTCTTACATGAAGAGTACCAGTTGCACAGCTGGTTCAGTCCTCAGCAGCTCGCTGAAGGAGTTGACAAACAGGTCGAAGGAGAGCAGGCTGAGCTGAATCAGTAACACTAGAGAGTAGTTGCTGGTTTGGAGCGTCTCCGGCCCGAAGGCCGGGCGTCCGGCTGGACTGTGGTTCCACGATGGATCCAAGGCTGCACTGCTCTCGCACAAACACTACATAGAAACATCAATCCTCATATAACAAGTCTGTTATGGGGCTCTCAATGTGGCTTTCCTGCCTTGCTAGCCCGAATGATGGTGAAGTGGGACTCTTGCCAAATCAAGGCTCCATATTTTGTTTAATTAGTCCACTTTGCTTTGAAAAAATTAGAATGCAGGTCTTGGATGAGCTGCCTGGAAATCACAGATGCAAACATGTCACAACTGCTGATTGTTCAAGCTCCAAAGTTATCAGATGTGGCAGAGCAGGACAGTCTATTGTCTCTTGAAAGCCTCCAGAATTGGCAAGCTGTGATAGAAAAGGTTTTCTTGTACCTTCATGTCAAAGCTGTTCATCCATCAGGGGCCAAATAAATCCACAAAAGGCTCTGTCTAGGGAGAGAGGAAAGAATCATTAGTTTTCTGCTAGTTATGCAACTCTCACTATGGTGCAGCTTTACATGCACTCAATGCAGAACTCCATTTGACATTACACATTTTACAATGCTAAAACTGTAAAGTTGAATTAATTTAACTGTAAAACTGGCTAAACCCTCAATCTTTTATCAATAATACCACAAACAAGCTGCTTTTACAATTGCTGGCAAACATTTCTGTATGACCAGTAACTTCACATGTTGAACCACAAAGTACAAGTTTTGAAAAAGAGGGACAACATTGTTCAAGTATTGACTTAAAACCAAGAGCAGTTCTGGATGTACGGTAAACAGAGATTGCCATGTTGATGACTGAATACAATTAATTCTGTGACAAGCAGAATATTTCAACTGCAAAAGGTAAGCTGTACACGGCAAATTATTTGCACTGGTCCAGTTGAACTTGTCGGGTCACTAGAATCTATCCATGCAAAGATTGTGAGCTGTATTTGTTCATGTTTTGAATTATCTGAGATGGGAGAATTTCATTAACCTGGAGACTCTGTCCTGACTCTTTAAAGAGAAGACATTGAGATTATCAAATGTTTTTTGTCACTTGTGTGAAAACCTACATACAAGTGACAATCTGAACAGATGTGTTTTTTTAATCCATTGAGTCAAAATCTTTGAGGTAACTTTATGCAGGAATTCATTTTTATTTTTGTTCCCACGACTACAGTTTCAGTGCTAACCACTGTACTCTTGTCCAGCCTCTTTCTTGAGGAATCCAGCTTTTTCTCTTCCAAACGTCAATTTTTGGTCTATTTGCCTCTTCTATAACTCTGTCCACACTGTGAATACTGTAGGCCTACTATAACTAGAAGGAAAGGTGTTTACCTGTAGGGCTTTATGCCAGAAAGCTTTGCCTAAAGTTTCACGTATGCAGCCTAAAGGTGGACATATGTCTCACTGCTCAAACCTGTAAAACCCAGATTACATCAAGATCCTGAGCTATTCCTTAAAGCTACTTCAACACAGTAAGAGTAGAGCAGCCTATTCCTTCATAGTTTTGTTGCAGATAGAGAAAACAGTCCCCCTTTTACTACTGCTGGTGTAAGTGGAAGATAATCTTTTGCTTAGCTCCTTTGGCATGAGCCAGGATCCATCAGGCTGCTTCACACCCACACCAGGTAGATCCTCTTATGACCCCCGTATTTATAGCTTTGCACGACTGTGGCAGGTGTGAGGAAGATTAAGCATACCTCTACACTGTGTAGTGTCAACCAAAGGACTACTTATTCCTGAACACTGTCTAACTACAATTCTGGGTTAGCAGCTTTGTTGGCTCTTGGGAATAAAACTGTTTAACAACTATAGGCTACCCAATAGAGAAAAAATACTGTAATTATAAAGGTGAAGCATCTTTTTTTGGTTTTCATGTGCTATGGGTTTGCATCTGAGACTAAATTCATATCCTACTCTTGTGATATAGAATAAAATCTGAGACGGGCTACAGCTATTGACCATTTTCAATGTCAGTTCCTTTTTTGATTATTTCCTCTATTAACATTTTATTGTTTAGTCTGTGACGTCAAATAATTGTGACAATGTTCCTCAGAGTACCAAGAGATGTTTCCGAATGTATTCCTTTGCCCGACCAACAGTCCAAAACCAACAACTCTTCATTAAGTATGAAAAACATCAAAGAAACGCAGCAATTTCTTACATTTGAGAAGCTATAACTAGCCAATCTTTTACATTTTTGCTCGAAAATGGCTGAAACTTAAATATTAATTTAACTGACTTCTATTATATTTTTCCTCTGCAGCTCTTAAAAAAATAACTTTGTCAGACATTGCAGTTTTCCTTTGAGAGGAATAAGATGGTGTAATTAAAAAACCTTTGTTATTGTTGTATGCACCCAACTTCAAGTTCTTAGAACTGCACCTTTTAATCTTCTTAGGAAAGTCCGTAGCAGCTTGTTGCTTTAGGACATAAGCCACATATCCTTGCTTTTACGACTGAACATAGACAAGAGCCTGTGTGCAGCAAAACACAAAAAAAGTATTTACCTGTAAAAGAAGATCGATGTTAGAGGCTGGAGTATTGAGGATCTGTCCAAAAGATGCATGAGGACAACCAAGTGTGAGCACAGATTGACAGCTTGTGTCTGTCCTACTGACAAGGGTTTAACCCCCTCACTTCTCTAATAGACAGGCACAAGCTTTTTGTCATGACATGTTTTTGTGGTTGGTTGGTTGGTTGGTTGGTTTGTTTACATCCACATTAATGACAAACTACAGTATCAAGACTGGATGTGTACAGAAGTAATGTTGCTAAATCAAATGTTTGAACGATTGGATGGTAGAGATTGCACCCTTTGATGCTCAATGGATGCATTGGTGTGACTTCCTCATGTGACTGGCTTTTGATGTATTTTGTGAATTAATAAATTTGTTCATATTTGACAGTGACGTCTGGGACATTTACTTTTCATATTTTGATATCTCACCTCTGTGGTACTCATATTTTTACGTTATTTATTCTATAATATTCTACACACACTCCTTTTACCTGGAAATTATATGGACTTTTTCCTTGATGGAATGATTGAAATCACAACACTTCACAACAAATTTCTTTGGGTCATTTGTTCAATTACGTATCATTTTTGTTGTTCTTTTTTTTTTTATTATTGAGGACAGACATCTATTACAAAGGTCAACATGTAAAGGCTTTAGTCATGAGAACTTTTTAAGAGGTTATACGTGGAGGCTGTTTGAGCTTTTCCCCAGTTTTCTTCCCCGGTCACATTTCATTGAAGATTACGGTAACTCTTCTAAGAAGGACACCTGGAGTAGAGCCAGAGGAAAACCACTGCCATCTGGTGGTGAGCATGTTAAGACCAGCAGTGTGATGATAAATATTGCCGAAGTCAAGGTTTTTAGTTATATACCATCACTGCAGGATACATATCACTTTATTTCATAATTTGGTGAATGTAACATTTGTAATTAAACATTGTGGTATTTATTTCCTATTTTAAAACTCTAAAATTCCCTCTTTATAACGTGTCAGAGAAACTCTCTGCCTGGACCCTGGAAATATGACAGAAACATCACAGTGATTTAATGTCCTCGAGCTGAACTATTAGTTCTGCATTCATTTGTCAAAGTACACTTCTGACCAGTCATCTGTGAAACAGAGATTACAGTCGACCATAATCATTCTCCTTTACTGCCTATATATAAAAGTTATTATGAGCTTTTTGTTGAGTCTTCCGTTTTACCACAGTTCCTTTGTGATAATTTCTCTAAATTTCTAACATCTATTGATCTATTTTTTTTCACATTATATTCTTTATAGGACCAACTGTTATGCCAGAATGTCCCCCTGGGGATTAACAAAGTATTTCTGATTCTGATTCTTAAACAGAACAAAAAAAAAAGCAATTTCAAGCAGCAACCTGTGAGCTAACAATAATGACACAAAGTCACAGAGGGTAAAGTGCTGCATTAAAAAAAATATTTTGTATTATATAAATTAACAACTAGACTTACAATGAGCTGGGATTTTGATTTGATGCTCTCATTTTTTCCTCTTTAATTCTCAATGTGACTAAACTGCAATGTTAACTTGTGAATTTCTATTGTTATCTTATTATATCGTCATACAGGCGTATATCATTGCATTATAATTTAGAAGTAGGCTACACTATAGTTTGTATTGATGATTTGAATCTGCATAGTTATTTTGCTGTCAAAGTGTCATGATTTGGTTTTGTATTTGAGTTTCCCTGTTTTATCCCAGTGTTGCTTGTTTCCCTTGTGTGTTAATGTTCCCTAGTGTTGCTGGTTTTTCCCTTGTGTGTTTCCTAGTTTTGTCTTCAGTGTTTTCTGTTTTATTTTGTCATTTATTATCCTTGTGTATCTCTGTGTTCTAGTGTGTTTTGGTTTCATTCTTGAGTTCTGTGTGTCTTCAGTGTTTCATGATTTAGTTTGTAGTTGTCCTCACTGTTTCTTGTATTCCTGCCTCTGTGTGTTTCCCAGTGTGATTGTCCTCACCTGTGTTTTATTAGTCTCACCTGTGTCTGATTACCCGATGTCTATTCAGTCTCTGTGTTTCTTCCTCTCTGTGTCAGTTCATCGTATGTGTTTGTCGGTGCGTATGTTATGTCAGTGTACCGCTGGCTCCCTGTTTTTGATCCCTGTGTTTTTGTTGAAGTAAGTTTTTGTTTGGCTTTTTGTGAAAATAAATAGTTTAGTTAATTCTGCACTTGGGTCCACACCTCCTTGTTTTCCGACTGTGACACAAAGAAATGAAGTGGGGAGAAAGGCCTGTTTCCTGATGGAAGAAATATCCCACAAAGAAGCAACACAGTTTAATACTGAAATATAGCACAGGAATATCTAAATTGCATTGAAGCAAACATAAAGTTCTTTCAATTCAATTCAATTCAATTCAAAAAAACTTTATTTGTCCGGGGGGCAATTCAAAGGCACACAGAGCAGTAAATTAACAACAGTGCAAGTAAACGAAACATTTTAACCTAAATATAAAGTGTCAATTTAAATACAACTTAAAGCTTAAACTTAACTTAAAAATACAAAATATAAAAGAGTAGATATGAGTGGACAGTGATCGGACTAACAGATGTAAACAGATGTAACCAGAACTATGTGCAGTAGTGACCAGATGTAAACAGAACTATGTGCAGTGAACGAGAAATAAATATATATATACATACAGAACTATGTGCAGTATAAATATATATATACAGAACTATGTGCAGTAGTGACCAGATGTAAACAGACCCATGTGCAGTAAACGAGAAATAAATATATACATACATACAGAACTATGTGCAGTATAAATATATATATATACAGAAGTTCTTCAGAAAGAATAGTCACAAACACAAACTTACTTTTAGACATTCATCCCCTTTCTCCCTCTCTATCTGCTTGCATCACATACCGCTCAGCGTAAAGCACTGCCCCGGGACAGTAAAGAAGAAGGCAGGAAGCATGTAAGGTGGCCCGGGGTGGAGTCAGCCTCAGCCGCAGCAGCTCCTCTCTACGTGAGCTCATTTTGATTTCTTGTAGCCTCCAGCTTCACTCTGCTGTCGGAGAGGCCTTTTTATCCGAGCAAAGTGGAACGAAAAGAAGCATAATTTAGGACTACTTTCCGCACAGTTCACCGCGCTTACATCGACAGAAGATCAAATAAACAGCAGGTGAGTGAAAGTAGGAAGTAATCTGAGTAAACCGTGTTAGCTCGCACTGCGGGGTCGTGTTATCAAGACTGTACCGGAGTAGCATTGTCGTCTTTTGCAACACAGTGGGACACTTAAACTCGCTTTGCTGTTTGAGCGAAGGTTACCGCAGAAGTTTCAACAAGGCTATTGTTGTGTTTGGATGAATTGGGTGAATTTTCTATCCTGTTTTATCAGCGATAAGCAAACACGGGACGAGTCGTAGACTGTTATAACTTCAGAGTTAGCTTGAAACCAGCGAACAGATGCGCTATAACGTTAGATTAAAAACACACGAAAACATAACAAAAATGACAGTAAAATCATGCCGGGTACATTTTTATAGAATAATTAATGTGGTTTATGGTCATTTTAACTACATTTTTCTCAAACTGCAATCTCATTCAAGTGTTTAATTAATTGTCATTTGTTGCTATATTTGGTAGCTGACTTTACATTATAGTATGTAACCATGGTAACAACCTTACTACTACTACTAGGCTACTAAGCACATTTTTTTTTTTAATATTACATACAAATCAAATCAACAGGGTTTCATTACCGTAGGTGGCTTTTCCGGTCATTTCAAGGTGAGGTCTCAGATACAATTATTCTAAAGTGACTCACCCGGAACAGAAGTTGGCTGTGCTCAGACTGGCAGCATAAACCTGACATGCTCACATTTATACATTACACACATTTATAAAACATTGTTTTACACAAACACGTTTTTCTCCTGTGTTGTGAATCAGAGAGGGAACACTGAAACATTAAATATTTGAATGTGACACGTTTAGGCCTTTGAAACTTAATGAGAAGAGGATAATCAGGATGTGGTATAGCTTTATCAATATTGGCTATTAACCTTTTTTTTTTTTTTAATTTAATCAAATTGTTGGTAAATAAAATTATAATGGCTCAGAAGTCAGACCCACAAAAAGTCCTGGTATAGGCTCTGACAAGTGCTTTTGCTTAATGACCCAGTGCACCTACATAATGCATACCTTGAGACTTGCTCAATCCAGACTTTAATACACCAAAACAGATCCAGTTGCAGAAGTCCAGTGTAAATGTGTCTAAACTCAGCAGCTCTCTATTGTCATCAGACTTTATTTACAATCGGGAGTGGAGACAGATGAGTCTAAATATAGATGTGAGAATGAAATGGGTTTGACGTGTGATTGTCCGTGTCCAGACCTTCACATGTAACACAGTACTCATTTATCCAAGAGTAACTATTTTGTTCAATACACAGAGCTGAACCCTGTTCTTTGCATTACCAGTTACTTTTAATGTAAGTTTTTTTTTTTTTTTTTTTTGGGTTGGGGGGGGCGCTTGTTATTCCTTTATTTATTTTATCTTTTTAGAGATAGGACAGTGGACTAAACCAGGGAGACAGAGAGATTTGGGAACGACATGCGGGAAAGGAGCCGCAGGTCGGACTCGAACCCGGCCGTTCACCTGGAGAACTATGCCTCCTCACATGGGGCGCACACACGATAGGCTACCGTCCCATTACATTTGTTATCTGGGAGTAAGAAGACAATGAAATAGGTCAGGACTTCAGCATACGGTCATAAATTCAACATGTACAACAAAATTAGAAAAAAAAAAGAAAAACAGCAAAAATCATTTCACTAAATAACTTAATACAAAGGATCAACCTCTGAATTTTTAAATAATGTTTTTCTGTTGATTACTTTTCATTGCAGCTATAACTGTGCAAGAGAGTATGTTGCTTTGTAAAGAATAATAAGAACAGGAGTCCTAGCCATGCAGGTCAGCCAAATCATTGCCCTCCTTTAAAGCTCCTGCTTGGAGTTTTTAACTGCTTTTTAAAATGGATTGAAATGATACTGAGGCCTGTTGATGACCTACAGAAGCAAACAAAATGAAATTTTGAAATTCCCAAGGTAATGATAGACTCCATGAGTGATACATCTGACAGGTCAAAGAAAGCAGGATGAGTTTTTGTGTCTGAAAAAACAGTAATTACACAAAGAGATACGATAGTCAATACACACCAAATGTTCCCCACAGAAACTTTAAGCAACACATAACATTGTTTTTATATTGAATTTAGTGACCTTTCTTATCAAAAAAAAAAAAAATTGAAATAGCGGCATTGCCACGGTTTTTCATAAAAGCCTCTTGGGAGTTTATTTTATTTTAGTATTCACCAAAGCTGTTCTTTGTTTTCAAAGCTAATACTGAAAACTTATGGATAAAAAATATGTTTTGGTTCAATTTATGCAAATGTGTCTTCCATACCAGGCCTGACAACTTCCCAACATTTGAAAATACCTGATAGCAAATGCAGGTAATATAAACTCCTCTGGACCTGTTCCTAGTATTTCACCACTGTAATTCCCCAGATTAGATGAGACATTACTAAATGCTGTTTATAGTGAGTGTGTCAGACAGGCTGTATATCCTGGCTGACAGACAACAGGCGTGTTTAATGGGCCTTGGAGTAAAGATACCACATACTAAAATAAACTGAATCTGATATGATTCCTAGCCCTAATTATGCAGCAAAACATCTTACCCAATATGTAAAAAGGACATTTCTTTTGAGTATATTATTTTTCTTTCCTTTAGAAGACTTGTTAAATGTACCATCTTGACTCAGCTGTTTTCAACTCTAAAACGTCCCATAGGGAGGCAATGTTTGATTTCAATTAACAGGCTCGCGCTAAGAGGGCCAGATGGTGGACAGACAGAAGCCCAGACGTTCTCTCACTCATTCATTCAGCGCTCACATCTGAGTTGACAGTAGTGTCTGTGGGGGAGGGGGAGCAGACTGAAGAGTCATGGGAGGGAGAGGAGAAACAAGGAGGCAGTCAGAGGGGGGCAAGTCCGGGCTTGAGTGGTAACTAAGCCAAGAAAAAAAACGTGAGACTTTTCGAACAAAGATTACATGAAGGCAGCAAGTGGTTTTCTGAGATTGGAGCTATAAATCTTGCAAATTTCAAGCTTTAGAGTCGTGTTGTTGTGGTGAATACATTGTCAAATGTTAATACAGTGTCATACTGCGGTCTGATCACAGAGATGGTGGAGATAAGAGTCAATGTAATTTTATTCCTGCTTTAAAAAAAACACTGTCTCTTTAAATCTGATTTATGAACCTAACTCTGCTGAAAAAAAATAATCTGCTGCTAACTGAAGTTCATTTTTGCTGATAGAAGCATTGCATATTGTTGGTACTAAGTTCCAGGGAAGTGGGTGGGTATAATTTCCAGCCTTTGGCAGCTCCTACTCAGTGCTTAGTCATGGATCTCCCTGCATACACATGTAATAACTCAGCTCACTGATTCTGCCTACACTGCTGATCTGATGCTTACTCCCTTATGTTCTGCTTTAGCCCTGTAGCATCTCATTTGCTAAAAGCACCTCACATTAAAAGATAGGTTTGCTTTCACTTTGAAGCCCAATTCTTCAGCCTCAATGCCAACTACCAGGCTGCGCTATACCCTCTCAGCCTGTTTGTGCTTCAACAATTAGTTGATCAGATCCTGCATTAATTACCCTTTTACAGTTATTACTATAGAAAATGCAACAATGTTTCTGCCTTTCTTTGTCATCTATGTCAGCAAACTAATTATAATTGGGTTTTTGAACAGTTGCCTAATCAATCACCATTTAGGGACAAATAAAGTTGAAGTTGAGTTGAGTTCTTCTACTTATTCTTTGATTGCTTAGTTTACAAAAAAAGGGTTGTATGCAGATACAAACCTGTTTGAACCCATATAAAAATTACTAAATGTGTTGAATTAAAAATATTTCTCTCTAGAAAACATCAACAGGTTTCTACAATGAAAAAATAAGACACCAGCCACCTTTACCATTTACCTTTACCAACACACCTTTTTTATTTTGAAAACAAAACGTGTTATCCATAGTTAGGCGCGTAGCTGACATCATTGACAGGTGGCCGCGATGTAACGGTTCAACAAGAGGCCCAAAATCCGCCTCAGCTTCGACTCTCAGCCTGTCTTTAGGTTGACTGAAAGTTAGGCTGAGGCAGGATTTCCAACATGGCGGCGGCAGCTGCCGATGAGCCTTTGGAGCCCAATGCCGTAACAGATGGCTGACTTCACTCAGGCTTCGGCCATTAATATTTACATGCTATGTTTTGATCACAGGTTCAGTGTATTGACTGTGTTGAAGCTGCAAAACATAACTCCTTGCATTTTATACTAACATCTAATCTGCTGTCTCTTCCAGCATGGGGGCCAGTGAGGAGAAAAAAGAAGCATGTGGAACCGTCTGCCTGAAGTACCTCCTGTTTACATTCAACTTTCTCTTTTGGGTAAGTTTCCACTCTGCCGAGTTAAGCCTGCACTAAAGAGTTAATTGCCAACATATTTGTGTTGGTTTAAAGGGTCTCTCTCTCTCTCTCTCAGTCACCTGCGTACTTGAGCAGGATTTATGATCTGAGTATTTCACTTTCTAAACACTTGCTTTGGTTTGTTGGTTTGGAGATGGTTTTTATTGGTTATAATAACCTTTTCTCAGCAAGAGAACTCCTGAGACAGTGAAAGAATGACACCTGTTTAAAACTAACCTCAAGGGTTGCCATATGTTACTGTTTTTGGAGTAAAGCAAAGTAGACATGCAAAATGATTCCCCATCACTGCCCTGTGGGCATGCATCACAGTTGGTTTAAAAGATAAATAATTTTGCGTGAAAGTTTTCTCTATGAATGCGGTTTAATGTCTAGATGTAGGTGGTCTGCATGGCAGTACAATGTTTGTGGTTGTTTCATTTTAGCCTCTGGTCAAATCCAATGTGTAGAAAATTAGTTGTCAATCGATTGAAAATGATTTGTTAAAACACAGATATCTCTCTCAGTAATCCAACTCCAGAGAAGCCCAAGTTGTGAAATTGATAGTTACCTATCAGAAAACATATGTAACCTAATTCCTTTAAAAGAACAGGCTATTTTCCGTTTTAACAAACCAAAGCCATTGAAAACATTGTTTTCTTTGACAGCAAAATGACAGGGAGACACATGCACACATCTTAGGCTTTGCAGACATGAATATGTTGTTATGTACTTGGTGTAAATTTTAAAAATTAGCTGATAAAACTCCTTCTGAACCCATCAACAAAGCCTCTTTTCAGGCAGAAGATAAATGCCTGCTGCTGTTCCAGTTCATAGAATCAAAGCCAAGTTGCATACTTTCACAGAAGACACAAAAGATGCATTCACAGCCGGATTCTTTTCAAATTTTCAGTGTCAAAAATACGCCGTTCCAGGATGGGAGCACACCAAATAACTGATCTCATAATTTCCCTATGTGGTGATAAACAGGAGTCAAACACCACAGCAGCCGCCTCACTGTCAGCAGATGAAGGGTGTTAGTTTCGTTCTCGTTCTCTGTGTGAAATCACACTTACAGCTCTGCCCATATGTGATAATCATCTGTCTGCCCAAAAAAAGCTGATGTCTGTCAGATTGGCAAGACCAACATTTCTCAGTAATTTCAGTGTCAGATGCTGGAGTAACAAACATGAATATTTAGGGACCCAATCAAGTCTGTTGACTAAATTTGTTTGGAAAAAGTATTTATTGTAGCTTTATGCATGGCTGCTATGAAAGTATTTCTGGATAGAATATCAGATAGCACATGATGCTGTTGAGGAGACCAATACCAGGGACAAATTTGTTTTTTTTTTATCTGTTCGTCCTGCACCTTGGCAGAGTATATCTCCGACCGTATGGCAGCAGCTTGTACTCTGTATAAAGTAGGTGAATGTGGTCACCAAGGATAGCCTGTACTTTTTTTGTAGCTCTGGCTCTGTGTCAAAGGGCAAGTTCATCAAAACTAGTGCCAGCAAATTCACTGCACATTCTCACTATTTGCTCCAACTTCTTCCTATTTTTCAGATTAAGAGAACCAAACCAGCGGATAGAAGATGAGGTTAAAACAGACTCACTAGAACAAACATAAAAGATTTTCATAAAGACCCAGTCAACGTTAAAAACTAGTACACGTTCTGGAGTCATATTCCTAGTACATATCTTTTGTACATTTTGAGGTTAAAAAAGGTTTAACTATTTTTAGTTTAAATTACACCAATGATGAAATAGTGTCATAATACGCTCCACTTTGTTCTGGCTTGACTTGAACATTTTTAAATTTTAAATCAATTTGGATGGTCTTCAGATCCCAAATGCAAACAGAATCTGCTGTGTGAACATAGAGAACAATGTAAAGGCCAAGTATATAACTTTGAGCAAGCAGAGCACAGCAGAGCCATTGAAAAAAGCATACTGCAGCAGAATAATTAATGTTATTACAGCACCAATGGTGCACTGCACAAACACCTTAGAATTAGAATAAAATGGAGTAAAATAAATACATATCTATCTATGGTGTTCTACAGTGTCACCCAGCAAACAGAAGACATATTGATCTGGCATAATCTCTTCTTCACCTCAGGGTCCTTTGAACTTTCATTTTCTTCCAGTTCCTACCTCTAACTGCCACTGGAGGTCAGCAAATAGTGCATTTCCCCTGTGCAACATTCAATTACACTTGAAAAATATTCATTAATTCCTGTGGTTCATTGAGTTTTAACAGCAGATAAAGCTGCAGCTCAATCCCGCATTGAGTGATTATTGCTGAACCCTTTTCTGTTACTAATGCTGTGGTTGTCTGGGCTGGACTCTACGGGTAGCATGAGGATTTTTAGAAAGTCTTAAGAAGCTTTATGTAGAAGAAACAAAAAAGTAATGCAAACAAAACTGTTTTATGTGGTTTCTTTATAATGTGGAGTGTAAAAATTATCGAAAGTCTCTCTTGCATCAGACTCTAAGTATTAAATTGAAACCAACAACTCAAAGGGACATCTTTTATAGTGCTGTTTACTTCTAAAATGCAGCTGGTGACAGAAGGTCGGAGGATTTAAATGCTCATCATGAGCCACCGCACAGAGAATCACAGACTTGAGAGATCTGCTGTCTACAGGCTTCAGACATGGAGGGAGTGGACATATGCATAGTTATCAGGTTATGGCCTGAACTGAACTCTATCATACGTCAGTGGAAGTAGGAATTCAAACAAAAGAAACTAGGTACATATCCAGCACTGTAACTCACTTTATGGCCCCTCCTGTTGCGTATAAAGCCCTCTTTAAAACAGTAATGCTGAGTAAAGACAGTTGACTGAAGTGTTCTACTCAGTCTTGTTGTTCTGTGTTTAATCCTGCCGCTCTGTTTCTGGGTGTGAATCTGACTCAGTGTGTAGCTTCTGCAGCCATCATCGTCTTTCTTTGTCTTTATAAAGAAAATCAGAATTACACAAGCTGTTGGATGGATGACTTTTAGAGGATGACAGACTTGTGTTGCATTGCTGCACCAGCTGCTACTTGTCATTGTGATATCCTACGAGTTAAATTTTCCTCATACTCTAAGATTAGATATGGTTGGAGATGATGGACTCTGACAGTTTTATGGTGGATTAAAGCATTGACTTTTGTGCTGTTTTGTTCTTACTCTTGGTCAATCCTGATAACTTCATTTTAGACTTTGAAGCAACATCATGTCACTATTTTCCTGGAAAATTAAGCTTCAAAATTATTTTAATGCTACGGTAAAATGTAATAAGGAAAATAGTGCTTCTTTTGTTCCCACTCCACGCTCCAAACTCCTGTGCCAGCATTAACAAAACATTACTTGGATATGATCTCCAGAGAGAAGGATGGCTCTGTTTCCGGATTTTAAAAAAGCCCTGATGGTATACTTGTATGGTTTACTATCTTAGCTCATTGTTCTTAATACCAAACATATATCATTGCAAGGACAAAGAGACTGCAGAGGACGCTGATAGAGAAGAAAGTAAGAGAGTGACAGTAGAAGACTTTGTCCATGTAATCATGGTCTGGCTACACTAAGACTGTAGGGGAGCCATAGATACAAGTATATTTGTTAACCAGCAAGGGATTTTCTTAATTAGTCTGTTAGTCTGTAAATGGATATATGTAACAAGAAAAAATAGTATTTGTATAATTTAGGGCCCAAGAATCTGTACTTGTCTGTTATTGATATTAAATGTATTCTCGTATGACCACAGTAAAGATGGAAAAGGAAAGCTGCAAATTCTAACATTTGAGAGTCTTGTACCAGAAAATATGAACTAAAATAATAAAAAAAATATTTATTTGAGTTACATTTAAGAGCAAGAAAAAGTTGCAATCATGGTATCAAATTGACATTTAGTTACAACTGTTTAAAGTTGAAATAAAAGATTTTTAATGTGCATGTGTTTGCCATTAGGTCTTTATGAAACAAGAAGAAACAGCCTGTGACATGAATGAAAACTTTGTTGCCCCTAGAGAGATTTGCCTTGCACCAAGAACATCAAAACACAATTAAAGTGACCAAAGACGTGGAAGCCATATACAGGACAAAAATACATCATTCATCATCACATATAAAATGCATCATTAAAGCATCACATGATTACATGAGGGATTTCAAAAGCAGGTTCAATAAAGTGCAGAGTGCCAACTTCATACTGTATGATCAGAGTTTATTAAGCAGCTGAATGCTACGTGGTACAAAGGATGTAATGCCTCTTTTAGTGCTCATCCTGTTCCTGCACCCTGAAGTCTTTCTTGCCCTTGCAACCTTGTCACACTACATATGCAGAATATGTAAATAACGGTAATGTCACTGACAGTAAGTCTTAGTTCTGACTGACAGTCTGAATCCAGGGTTTAAGATGTCCAAAATAGTTGCTGACTAATGTTCCTCTTTTCTCAAATCATCTGACTAATGGCCGCAGACGTAGCTAAGATTTAACTTTTTAGTATCAAGCCCGTCTAAGTAGTATCGACAGCCTAGGCTTCCTGACCCGCACAGCTCAGTCAGCTCATTCACAATTATCTTACAGCATAATCTGATTCAAGATTAGATTATCTTGTGAGGACGTGGTGGGTCTTTTTTTCAATCTGTTCACTTTCCACCATAGGGGCGATTATTCAAGGTGTCTCCTTCACCGCTTTGATGGAGACTTGGTTGATGAATAATTGAAACTTTTCGGCACTCTCAGTTTTTGTCTCCTCAGTGTTGTACGTATGCTGTCAGTCACTGTTGTAGATCTGATTCTATCATGTGCTCCTCTTTTCCCAGTTGGCAGGGGTCGTGGTGATGGCCGTGGGTGTTTGGACCTTGGTTGAGAAGAGTGACTACATCAGCCTTCTCTCCTCCAAGACCTACGCTGCCTCCGCCTACATACTGGTCCTGGCTGGAGCCATTGTCATGGTAACAGGCGTGCTAGGCTGCTGTGCCACCTTCAAGGAGCGAAGGAGGCTACTGCAAGTGGTAAGAGATCACGTCGAGGTTGAGAGATAATACAAGATGCACACAGCACATCAGTAGAAATATTCCAGTATATGAAACTGAAATCACTTGTTCTCTTATTTAAAATGAGAAAACAACCAACCATGTTTTGTTTTTTTCACAAAGTTTGACAAAACAGACAAGTGGTTACCATTTTTTCCTGCCACCCACTCTTATTGAAGTAAAGTTTCTTAAACTCTTATTTTCCACATTCCTCTTTGAAAATCTATTTCATAAAATATTAGCTAGCCCGACCAATTAATCAGCCAGCGGATAATTGTCAGCCGATATTAGCAGATCCAGTGACTATTGGTATTGGTTTATTTTATTGCAGAATATACGCTGATATTACTACATTTATTCACCAGTGAAATAGCATTTTATTTGAGTATTATTGTAACACTCTAGTTCTCTTCCACCAGCAGAGTGTGTTACATGGATTTCAACCAGCATTATCACCCTCCAGAATGTATGGCTGTGATGCACGTAAATGCACAATTACTTTCCAGTTGATTGACCATCTTGTTTTCATTATAATTTTTTTCCACAAGTGTATGATAACTGCATTTGAGGGACCAACACAATAAATGTGTATATCTATGTCTATCTATCTCTACAGATCGAAGATAGATCAAAGAAAGCTATCAGCCGATATATCGGTATCAGATTTTTTTTCTCTCTCCAATATCGATACAAGGATCGGACCAATAAATCCATTATCGGTCGGGGCCTAGAAAAATAAACATACCCAAGCTGTACTCACTTTAACTTTTGAAAAACTTAAAAAACATGTTTTTATTATTTGCATAGATTTTGAATGACTTCATGGTTATTACATACATTATGATTAGTTTATCTTTGTCTAGGACATACAGGATTAGATTCAGAATGGCAAAATTATAAAAATCCTCACTCACTTTGAAGTCAAAAAAATTACAGGTGTCTTACAAACCAACATTCATTGTAGACGTATACAGCGGACTCACAGGGATAATGGGGTCGCACTTCCAAACTGAGAACTCACCGAGGCCAAATAACAGCCTGGATCTCATTCAGTTCAGACAAAACAAAATATCATGAAGCAGGAGCTTGTTAGCCCATATTTGTTTTGGCACACACTGTACCTGGCACAGAGTTATGCCAACAAATACAGCAGTGCTTTACTGATCATACACTCCTCAGAACCTCATCTTCACATTACACAAGGAGAGATGTGTGCATGATCAAAACTTGATTTGTTTCATATAAACTTTGCAGGAACATTTCTCATTTTTGGCATGCTTTACTTTTCAACAAAAATGAGTCTATAGAAACCTGGCACACTTAGAATGTCTTTTGTGCATCTTTAGAGACAGTAACGTAATCGCTCTCTAGTTGGATTTAGTTTTGAACTGTGCTCATATCCCACATTTCTAGTCTTCCAACAAGTCCAACCATACGCCAGTCACCCCATTCAAGAGTAGCTACCTGCTCGTCAGGATCTTTCCTACACTTATCTAAACACAGACATCCACTTTTGGGAGGAATTTTGAGTTCCGTATTGCGTCGAGAAGCTTTGAATCTCCAGGCAGATTAAAAAAAAAACTCAGTTGTGTGTGCTTACAGTGGATTCCTAGAGCTTATTGTTGCTTAAAACATAATAGAAAAGTCTATAGAACTATACACATTAAATGAAGTCCCCCATACATCCAGATTATTTGATTTATAGCTCAGGCATCTTTGTACAAATTGAGATGTGTGCACCAACTTTTCTCTTGCGTGTTGTGCAGGTTAGAAACGCTCTGCGCATCCTGAAAAGTGGAGATTAGGGCGATGAATCATGGTGAAGAAATGAACTTGTCGGCAAGGAGAGATGCTATCGGGATTGCTTAAGAGGGCAAACATAAGGGCGAGATGGCAGGAGGGGGAGAGTAATTGTTTTTCCTTTATGTGCTGAGTGCCTGGTACCTGCTCAGAGTATCTGAAGGCAGTAGTGATTGTCCACAGCGTCCTGTAAGCTCAAAGGTCACACGTTTTTAGCACAAAAACAGCTGATCCAGCCACAGAATCAATCAGATAATCTTCAGCTGTACGGCCCAAATGACCCAGCAGCTGCTGATTAAAGAGAATGCCAAATCAGTCCCTCTGTACGGCTTTTAATGATGTTATTACTACAGCAAGTATGAGAGAGGTCAGCAAGACCAATAGAAAAAGGGAAACTATCCCAAGATAAGAGGGTGTGGTGTGTGTCTGCAAACATACAGACTTATTTTTTGGTTGTAGAAAAGTGACAGAACAGTGTAATGACTCAGGGAGAAGGAGGAGCAACTTTTTCCTTCCAAATGAAAGAGCCAAATGGAAAGTAATCCTAACATAGACCGGATCCACCTGTGGAAACACTGACTTCATACAGTTTGAGGGGACGTATTGCAAGTCTGACTGTTTGTCTCTTTTTGTACTTTTCTGTTTTACTTTCTCTCTTTCTTTCTATCTTTTTTATTTCCCTACTCCTTTCACTTTGTTTAAAACGTATCTACAGACAAACCACACAGGAAGTACATTTCAAATTTTGGCCAAAAAGGGAGAGGGACAAAAGTTCATTGTTTTAATTTTTTCAGACTAGCCATTGGACCAAGTATATGCTTTAAATTGTTGCTGAATCGAGACGCTGCCTTGCATCAATACAGGATTAATTGGCCTAACCTTCTTCAAAGCCATCATATGAAACTGGATGTTAGCAAATTAGACACCTTTTTAAGTCATAAATCCTATATCACCCCATCCCTTAATTTCGTAATATGTATATAATGTAAAAAAACAAAAAAGGGTTATGATAAACTGAATGAGACAGTGAATAACAGTAGTTCATTTGTTTTTACATTTACTTTGACATACTGTACAGACATAACAGTGTGTACGAGGTCATTCTGTCATATAAGCAAGAATGATTCATAAAGTTATATCACTGTGGTTTTTAAGCTTCTACCTGGTTTTGATGTGTCAAATTTAGGAACAAATGCTCAACTAGAGATCTACTTTCTGACGGTCTCCTAGTACCTCTCCGTATCTCTAGTTCCTTTAAATCTGACTTCTGAGGTCTTATTTTGCTCCTTTATTTCTGTTTTTAAGTTGTTCTATAAAAGACAACAGGCCAACAGAGCTGCAAGTGGAAGGACACTGTGAGCAGTCTCTGCTTTGTATTTAATTTCTGTCCTGCTGCTCAACTCGCAGCACGCCTGACCTGTAACCTGATGGAGTCCTTCATGACTAAGTTATAATGATCATCACTCATAGAGGGCGAGGCTTTATTCAGATGCACAGCGGAGATTCTGAGGAGTGTCGTTATGGCTTCAACAAGGGAAGTAGAGCTAGACAGAAAGTCCAGAGAGAGGTTTTGTACAAAAAAAAGGGACATTAAAAACACATCCTAGCTTATTTAAGTTTACTTATTTTCAAGGTCAGTTACATAGACATATCCAGGTTGTTGTTTTTGTGGGTAAAGAAAGTAGTGTATCTTTTCAAGAGGTCTAGGTTAGCTATTTCACTAAAAAGGTGGCAGTGCTGGGTCTGAAATCAGTGCACACCTTCCCTGTGAGTTTTGTGTGTGTTTGCTGAATGCATGGTGCATGTTGGGGAGTTGAGATCACAGCCATGAATCACAGAGGAGGAATGAACTTGTCAGGAGCGACTAGTGATAGCAACAGATTGCCAAAGATGGAGAACATAATGTGGTTCTGTGTGTGTGTGTGTTTATGTGAGCTATACTGACTTTATATCATGAATCAAAGAAGCCAATTAATGGAGTGACATCTTGTCGCTTCATCTTGTAAGAATTTGCATTTTTAACACGTTACAAATCCCCCCTCACTTTGTCTTCATCCAAAATCTTTTATTTATGAAATTCAAATTGTCCATAAAACTAGTGCTGACATTGCAAGGTTTTTTTTTACAGATTTTTCTTTGTGATCATCTTATTTATTTGGTTTATGCTCATATAAGTGAACTGTGTGCGTTGTTTCATACTTGTTTTGACAGATACGCAGTTTGTTAGACCAACAATATGTTCTGATATCTTAGTTGGGTTTACTGTCAGCAGAAGAGACTAAACAAGTATGCACACACAAACACGCAATGTTCAAGTAGAATTTACACTAAAATTGACAAGAATAAAAACAAAAGATGTTTTGTCTTTAGCACCTGATGAAACTATTTGACCTTGAAATGAATCAAATACTCGATAAGTAGATGGACAGACATTTTTCAGTACATTTATTAATAATTGGGAGAAATGTCTAACATCATTTCCTCCAGCTTCTCCAATGTTGACATTTTCTCCTCTCAAGAGCCCTTAACATTTTGTGACTCCATCGTTTTGCTGACATTTATCATTTGTACTTACACAGTGCATTGTAACAATGTAATATATTTAATGTCGGTATGAATTAAAAATACAGAAGGTAGATACAAGCGCAAAGATATTACACAGTCTATTACGCCTCAGTTACTACCTCTGATGGCGGATCAGCAGCGGAACGTTTATCACCATTCCACCTCTGTGCGTTACTCATTGCAGACATATCAAGGTTTAACTTGATACAAGCAACATTTGTTTAATATCATTAAAGTTTGATATATGTATACATCCAATGTTGTTAAATTTATGACCATAGGCTGGAGCCGCGATCTCAACCACTATCCTCAAATATTTCATTATCTTCTTACATCTCACATAAAACATGTAATCGGGCGGTAGCCTAGCGGTTAGTGCGTGCGCCCCATGGGAGGAGGCGTAGTCCTCCAGGAGGGCGGCCCAGGTTCGAGTCCGACCTGTGGCTCCTTTCCCGCATGTCATTCCCCACTCTCTCTCTCTTTCTCTCTCTCTCTCTCTCTCTCTCTCTCTGATATCCGACTCTATCCACTGTCCAGTCTCTACAATAAAGGCCCAGCATGTTGCATCGTCTACGATAAGAGATCAGGTTTACATATCAACTCACAGATTATCAGGTTTGAAATGTCAGGCTTGCTTGTAAGCAGAACTCTAATAGACACAGGGGTCTTCCACGAAAAACACAAGAGTCACGAGGGCTGATTAGACAAGCCTAGTATTAGACATCCAAATGCAGTGCCCTTAACAAATATCCTGAGGTCAATACAGAACCAGTGGTTAAATCAGACACAGCTAAAGTTAGTTTAAAGTTCCCATTGATCAGCTCATTGTGTGAGGCTGGAGAGTTGACATTGTAGCTCAAAGGTCACAGGATGACTCCTCTCTAAAAACAGACACGTGTCTGATCGTTATCAGTCTGATGAAAGTCACCTTCAGCGTGACTCTGAACTCCTGCTTACTCAGTAATTGTTAAGGCGGCAGTACACTTCTAATGAAGTCTGAAAAAAGAAACACAGTCAGACACGGAGCTGCATACAAATGTTTGCATCCTCACTGCAGCTATCTGTTGTTCCTTTATGCACACTGAGTGCACGATGGAGGAAGTGAGTTAAGAAAACTCTGGAGAAATATGGCTACTGTGGAAGTGGGGGCATAAAAGGTCAAAGAAACTGTTCAAATATTTTCTAACAACCTCAGCAAGATGAGTCTGAGTTTACCCGGAGATGTCAGATGTTTTGTAGTTTGGCCAGGAAGCCTACGTGCAGCATGCTGTTGAGTGTGAAGCCAATGCAGGGCTCTGAAAAAAAGTGTTGTACTTATGAACCCACTGAGAGACATATTTGCAGTAATTACAGCGTGCCCTGAAGTCACCCGGGGAAAGACTGGCAGCTCTGACGTAAAATGAGTATGTCTGTGAGAGAAAGAGAGTGTGCCTGATATCATGAAGAGTCCTCTGGAGTCACTGCAGTCAGTAATTCACCCGACTTGGTCTCTGCAGCCATCTCTACAACCATCTGCAATATCTTTTTGTCCTGTCACACCCTCTCTATACATCATTGTCCATGTGGGATCACTCTGGGAAGCATGCTTTGTATGTCAAAGTCTGATATATGTGCCTGCTACTATCTCTTTTGTCCTCGTCTTCATCTACATTTGACAGGATTTTCTATACGATGTTTGGTTGGCATCAGCTCACTTAGTGGAAGCGCGAGACCAACACATCACTCGGCCAATGTTTTTGGACACAATATATTCTATATTTTAGACACATAATGCAGAAAACTATTATTGGAAGGATTTAGAAAGGGAGGTTTTTTTTGACATAAGAGTTTACTGCGACATCATGTAAACAATCCTCTCAGCACTGTCTGCAGCACATGCAGCATCACAATAGCCCACACTGAAATGTGTTAACAATGTAAACTATGTTAAAGAGTCTTTAATACATACTACTGACTAACTTTCTAATGTCATATCAGTGTGATATTCACCATACTGGTCACCTTATTTGTAGTCACGTTTTAATTCTGTTCATGGTCCATTCACAAATGTTCCGGATATTGCCATTTGATTGTACCAGAGTTAGTGTAAAGCTGTCACTCATCGGCATTCCTTCGATAGAAGATGTAAGTGGCCTCACTGACAGGAACCACATACGATACAATATCAAGTAAATCTATATTCTTTTCAGTCTTTTTGACTGATGACTTCGATGATTATGACTATGAGTTAATTTATTGCAATGGTGTATTCTTTATTAATAACAGCTACTTTCTGCCTCTGTTTCGCTTCCATCCTTTAAAAGAGCTCTCTACAATTCTACATTTCATTTAGCAGACGCTTTTATCCAAAGTGACTTACATCAGAGAGTAAGAACAACACAAGCAAGGATCTAGAGAGGAGTAAACAATGTCAGTAAGTGCAAACAAACAAACGGACACACAGGTCCTGACAGGCAGTGCACAGAGGCAAAGCACAACATCGACAGCTGTCCTTGAGAGTTCTTATCAGCATCAAGACCATCCTAAGATCATCATTATCAAACAAAACCATTGGCCTTAGCCTGAAAAGAATTGCAAACGTCAGGCAAAGCATGTCACTTTTTGACCTGAAAAAGTATGTATCACAACTATATAAACTTGCTGTTATTTCCCAAAAACATTGAGTAGAAGTGCAGTTGGATCGGATCATCACACACCGTGATTACTTTGATTTGTTTAATCTTACATTTCCTGCATTCAGGATCTGTTGTCTTACTTCTTGAACCATCAACACAACTTCAAAATGCACCTCAGTCTCTGCCCAACTATCAGACTCGAAGCCAATCAGAGATCTAATCAGCACAAGCTATCAAATCAAAGACCGAGTCCACTTTAGCGGCTGATTTCTTCCCTCTGATAGCAGCTGGCCAGAGGAATTTAGGTCAAGGTTTTTTTTTTTTTGTCTGATAATATCTCCTCTTGTCCTTAATTCTGAAGAAACTTGGCATGAAAAGCAGACAGTCCCTAAAACTCCACAGGCCCAATCACGAATCAGACACCGGCGATAAACTCTGAACAGGGAAGCTCAGAGCAAGCAGAGTGAGATCTGCATTGACGCGGTGACTTAATGCATCTTCAGGATTTAAGAAACCAACTTTGAGCTGAAGGCCTGATCAAAAATAGAAAACTGTTAAAGAAAGGAGTTTCAGCTTTTTCATCAGTTAAGAAATCTCTTATGGTCTGGCAAGATTATGTGTATACATGTATATATACATTACTACAGTATTACTTCTTTATACAAACCTCTTCAAAAAGGGCAATACAGAACAACTCTGCATTAAATCCTCCTCTGTGAAGGTTTTGAGGCCTGACGTGGTGGTGTGTTTGTGTTTAACCACATAACAATCTTAAAAAGAAAAAGTCTCTGGTCCTATTCCTGAACAAAGTCTGAAATTGCTTAACTGTTCTTAAATGTAGCTGCATCCTCCACTGTTCCTTTCCAAAACAAATCTTAAGTGTTAGGAGAAGTGAGTGGGGGATGACATGCAGCAAAGGGCTAAGGTTGGATTTGAACCCATGGCTGCTGCGATGAGGACTAGCCTCTGTACATGCGGCACACAACATAACCACTAGGCTATCCAGCGCCCCTTCTCTATCTACTTCTAATCTTTTTCTCATACTGTTTTGCTCATACTGTTGCAGCATCGCCGTGATTAACCTACACAAATTTATGAAAGGAATCTGTTGTTTCGACTTGGACTTGGAGTGCTTTATAGTCACTTTCAGCTCCATGTGTCGCTGTTTTGATGTTTTGATTCACTCCCACTGCTCTCATAACATCATTTTTGGCAGCGGGCAACTGGTTTCAGCTCTAAAAAAACCCACTGTTCACTATCTGCACAGCACCAAGTAGATAAACACAGCTCGAGACTAGATGCTGCACACTGTGGAAAATTCAGCAGCTAAAGAGACAGATATTTCCCTCAGGACTTGATTGAGACCGAGAGAGCATAAAGAGAGAATAGTGCACTTCAAAAGCGCACAAAAAAAACATTCAATATTTTAAAGTACTGTATGTATAGACTGTTTTGAGTCTGCTTTTCATGTATTAAAAAAATTATCACATCTCAAACCTGGTAATAATTTCAGCATGGGACTGTTTCACTTGCTGTTTGGTACAAAGCTAATATTCAAAGGCAGTAAGAATTTGTTAACCATGCCTTGGTTTGGTGGCTTCTTAATCAAACAGACTGGCATATCTATTAAACCACCCTACTAGAAGTGCTGCATGCGTGACTTTAAATGCTCTGATATCTGATTTAAAAAAAAGCCACTTGTCGCTTCATCACATTACCATCCGCTAACCATATTTTCTTCTTCCTCTCCACAGTACTTTGGCCTGCTGCTGTGTATCTTTCTGTTGGAGATCCTCGCTGGCGTCCTGGCTTATATCTACTATCAGCAGGTAATCTCCCTTGGGCCAAAAAGAAAACACGGCCCTTTTCCAATAGGTTTTGAGTTGTATGCCTGACATGTCAGAGGAGCAGCTGACAGATACGGGTCAGATATTGGACTCACATCGCAGGAAACTAATCCAAGAGAGCCTATTAAAATTACAAATACCAGACTGACCACATTACTTGGGGTTCATTGAGTTGAAATAGTATGAAAACGCCTGCAGTAGAGCACATAACGAGGCTGAATGCCCTGTGATAAATCATTAAAAACATTTTGATATGATTTTATTCTGAAATTCTCTGAAACAGAAGAGTTCACTTATGCCACCCTCCCTACTTGAACAAAAAAATGACTTTGGAGAGTATTTGTGCTTATTAGTACAACAGATTACATGCATATGTGAACATTTTGCTCATGTCATGTGCTTCAGAAAATGAAAGAGCTGAATTGATAGCCTCACAAGGCAAAGTTAAGCTCAAACAATATAGGCTTGTAATGACTGCACAACAAGCAGCCATGGATGAAAAGTTTTTCCCATTTGTAACATTACCATGACATTGCTTTCCACCGGCATCAGTCCCTCCCTGACTAATCTTAAACCCTGGTGGCTTGTAGCTCAGCAACAGGCTCAGTCTGGAGCTGCACTGCCATCATTATAACTGCCTCATTCATAATACACAACACGAGAAGCCACTGAGCTGCAAGGCTCTCTGCTGCTTCCCAAACCTGTCTCCTTCTCCTTCGCCTCAAAAGACTCTCCATTAATTAAGTTCTGCAGAAGTTTCTATAGGTGCTCCTTTTTTTATCTATTTCGCCACCCTCCCTTTTTATTACCCCTTATCTTTCAGTCACAAATACACTTGAACACATTTTGTAAACTGCTAATTATCCACAACTCAATCTCATATTTTTGCCATGATGTCATAACCATCCGAGGTACACTTAACACGAGCTACCTGAGTGTGAAACGATGGTATATGCTCCTGTAGAAGACCTAAGTTCATATCATATCAACCTTGTACACTACCCACGATCATAACAGTGTCACAGCGACGTCTCTGATTGGTGGAGCTCACTGTTTCCATGGAAATGTTTCCACTCTCCAGCGCTGTATGGGAACGGATAGCTGATATCATATACTGTAACACGAACGATATCAGCTATCAGTTCGCAATGGTACTAATATGACCTTGTTATGCTGCAGTGAATTGAACTAATATACACAATACAAATTACAATATAGTACAACTTATGACATATAGCAAAAGTTACATATAAGACGAAGTGGTATCGTTCACAATGGATTGTGGGATGGGTAGTTCCTTGGCTAAGGAAAAATTTAATTATGTACACACTCTTGTACCTCTTAAACTCTTGGTTTTTTCTCCGTTTTCCAATTTTTGCGCCCGATCAAATGTATTATAGTCATGAGTCTTTTGGTAGCTGGTTGTCTTGGTTCCAGGCTTCGATGTCATGATATAAGGATTTAGTGAAATGTCAATGTAGAATTTGAATGGGGAAATGTACTTCCTGAACAAGATCAGCCTAAAAAGTGAGCGGACTCTGTTGATCTCTATGGATTAGAACCAACATCAAGGATACTGATTGGGCAGTTTCAGAGCCATCACCTGAATAGATGCTTACATTAGTTTTTATTGGTTTGGCTGTGTTAGAGTCAGCTCCACATTATGTTTTGCTCTTGCACAGAGGCAGTTTCAACTCATTGAGCCTCTTTAAATCTCAAATTGCTGTTTCCACTTCACTGCCAACTTGTTTCCCAAACAGTCAACAGGTAAAATGAAATGCTTCACTCTCCTTTTTCCTCGTTCTACCATTTTCCTCCTCCCCTCTGTCTTCACCTCCCATCTCTCATCTCTATGCCCTCCCCTCCACTCTTCATCATTCATTCCCTTGATATCTCCTTCACGCTTTGATTTACAGTGCTCTCCCAGCTGGCTTGTTGCCATAGAAACTGAGCCCCCCAGACCTCCCGCTCCTACAGCGAGTATTTTTCTGCCTCTGGTCCAAAGAACAAAAAATAAAACATAAAACACTGTCTTCCTCTGCCTTAACCCTGGCTCCTTCTGCTCCTTTGTTGTTAGAACTGCTGTCTGTATTATGTATTGTCAAGAGAGCTTTTAAATTATTTGTGTTACAAATCTCATACGTAGCAAAAGTCAACTATTGCAACTAATTTATCCCACGGCTGTACTGTGAGTTTTTTTGTTGTAATTATGTGGGCTACCAGTGCAAAACTCTGTGTCGGTCTGTGTGTCTGAACAGTTGAATGAGGAGCTGAAGCAGAACCTGAGGGAGACCATGACCCAGAAGTATCAACAGATCCCCCATGAGCAGATCACCAGGGCTGTGGACAAACTGCAGCAGGAGGTGAATGTCTGCCTGAGGTTGATTTAATATTTTATCTACAAATAACTGTGTGTTACAGTTAGGAGTGCAGTCACAACCACAGTTATTTAAAAACACTGGAAAGTTGATGTATTAAGTTAGTAATATAATAAGCGAGTTAGAGCGTCTGAGCTAAATTCACATGGCCTCACATGATGCCTGTTGATTGGACAGTGTTTGGTATCCTATCATCCCATCAGATTAGAGATTTTGGTGATGAGGTTTAGTCAAGACAAATCCGATTCAAGTCACTCAGACTTCAGCTAAGCTTGACGGAGTTGTCTGCTCCCTCTGCTGTCTGTGTTTTACTTTCTCCTTTGACTTATACCAGTTGACAGCACAGGAAAGAAGGAATAAATATGAGCAGCAGATGAGACATAAATCGCTTCATTTTGTATGCATAGATTTTTTTTTTTCAAGTACGAGATGCCCCCGGCTGTCAGACGTCACCATTTATTATTTGTTATTTTTTCTACCTTTTTTTACTTTGTGTCCATTTCAAGAAAATAGTTTTGACTGTCTTTGCTGTCTTGCTGGGAGTTAATAGGATGACTAATGAAGCTACAGCTTGGTTAGTTTACAGCCTGGTTAGCTTAGCGTAGCATAAAAAACTGTGAACAGGGGAAGCCATTAGCCTGGTTTTGATAAAAGCTATAAAAAAAAAAGAAAATGCCTACCAGCACCACCAAAGCCCCCGAATAGAGATGTTTTTTTATTCCTAGAAATAACAAAGATGAGAAAAATACTTCTAAAACACACATTGTGGTTTTTACAGGCAAATGTGTGCTGACATGTGCAATATGGTAGTGGTTAGTCTGTGCAGAGGCTGTATTCCTATAAGCAGGCAGCCCGGGTTTGAATCTGACTTGTGGCTCCTTTCCCACATCATTCGCCATTCTCTCTCTCTCTCTGCTCGGTTTCTGACTCTATACACAGTTCTGTCTCTCAATAAAGACATAGAAAGACGAAAACTAAATCTTAGAAAAATGTTAAACAACTCAAAAGAGCAAATGACTTAAAATGATATTCTCTACCTCGCTTTCTACCTCACTTGTAAGTGACTGTCTGAGATTTTAATAAGATTCATAACTTCCAAAAATGAAAAAAAAATGTTTGGGCCAAAGTCATTCCCTGCTAAGTGCTCAGGCTAGCTCTATTTACTGTAAATAGACAGAATCATGAATCCAGAGTCATTTTGAATTGAAAATAGATTCTGAATCGAATCGTGACCCCAAGAATCAGAATTAAAATCGAAATCAAATCTTATCATGAGACACCCAAAGATTCCAAGCCCCAGTCTTAATGTTTTATTCTGATGAGCAGAGATGAGTCTTTAGGGATTTAATCAATGCCAGTTGATAAACTTTTACGTCCTTCCATACTCTTCTTTTTAACGTATTGTTTTCCTCCTCCATCTCTGGACAGTTCAAGTGCTGTGGCAGCAACAGTTCATCGGACTGGGCTGATAGTGTCTGGATCCGCTCCAGAGGCGCAAACAGCAGAATAGTGCCTGACAGCTGCTGTAAGACTCAGACTGAGCTCTGCGGCCGCAGGGACCACCCGTCCAATATCTACAAGGTGGAGGTGAGAGGATGAAGGGTGCTGTGAGTGCCGGTGGAGTTGACTTATCAGTATTTCTGTCATGTCTCAGTATGCGAGAGAGCCTGCGGTGTTCGAGGAACAGAGAGAGAAGAGGCAAACTGTATACTCAATATTTGTTTACAGTGAGACTCTAGTAACTCTCCCACATCGACTGATGCAGCATAAAGACACTTTGCTTTTCATTTAGGGTGGCTGCATCACTAAACTGGAGAAATTCATCCTGGACCATCTCAAGATCATCGGAGCAGTGGGGGTTGGGATTGCATGTGTACAGGTGAGCAAAGAGCTCTACTTTGAAGCAGTGTTTTTGCACATAAACATATCAAATGAATGCTTGTCCACTGAGACTGCAGTTTTTGCTTAATCCTGTTTCCTTCTCTTCCATCTGATCCCCAGATCATTGGGATGGTGTTTACATGCTGCCTGTATCGAAGTCTAAAGGCAGAGCCGTACTAAGAGAGGCAGAAAGAAGAAGATGAATAGTGTTGATGAAGGAGGTAACTTCATCACCACATGCCAAACTCAGATAGCCCATAGGTTATTTTCTTTGCCTGGCACATAGGGGGAGGAAAATTTGGCAGGGGATCAAAATGCACATCAGAGGATCTCATTTTAATAAACAAAAGGTGGAAATAAACTACAATGTATCTGGAGGTAATTAGCCGTTAAAAATGCAATTTCAGCTCCATCTCCAAGATCACAGCGCTGTGAAAAAAAAAAGCCTCAGAGAGAAACTGATGGGAATTTGAACACAGATTGTGTAAATTAGTGTGGGGACAGCCTCCTCGGGACTCAAACATTGTCGTTTTTTTTCTTCCACACCGATTCCCTCGATGTACGTTTATGTTTGCAGACAGGATGCTGCACTCGAAAGTGTTGTAAAAACCAGCGGAGTAAGACTGGCACTTGGAGGAAAATGTAAATTCTGGTCACAGCAGCTTTCCCTTCCCCAGCAATGTGTGGTTTAACAAGCCTACACCTCTGGGGCCCTCTTCATCTTCAGCAGCATTTTGTTTCCACGCTAACTTCCCTGTCATGCATTTTAAAAGTTGTGCGATAGTGGCCTTTTTAAACCTTTGACCTGTTACTTTTTATACGTTGCAAATGATCATTTTGTGTAACACTTGAGGGCGTTTCTTCTGAGCAACGAGGATGTATTCCCTAATGTGTCGTCATAGTGATATGTCAGTGTAACATCATGATTTGATTCAATTTAAAGATCTGCTGAGAAGGACAGTGTCTGCCTCAGTGAAGGTAATGCCTTGCTCAAAAGCATTTCCATGAGGATTGTTGAAGCAATTATGTGACTTCTCTAAAGTTTAAAACCTGATTAAATCATTTTTTGATCTTCTTGCTGACACATACAAGCAGTGCCTCTAATTTATGCTCATAAGAAAGTGCCTCATTTTAGATATTTTACTTCATCTTTTTTTATATGTGGGATTTATCCACTGATGCCAAAGTTGAATACCGTAACTTTGTGTAAGGACCTACTGTATCTCCTCAAGCCTTATACACCTATCTACTGACGCCGCTCTCTTTTTTTAGATTGTTTTCATAAATGAAGATTTTGTTTACTTTTCTATACTTAACTATATTATTGTATTTAACAGACACGTAGTAGAAGATGATTTTTCACTCACTTGTCAGTAACGATCCTTTTACTGTGTGCCTCACAGACGACACTGAATTAACCTGCTGTAATTTCTCTTTGTGATAATCCAGGAAATATTTTCAGTTTGAATAAATGTTGATCATTACATCTCTGCGTGTGCTGTGTCGCTTTCTCAGCAATCGATTCATGATTTCTAAAACCACCAGCTGAGTGTTTTTTTTAATTACTTTTGAAAGCACAAATGCTGAGCTACATCCTCCACCTCGTAGTTATGAGGTCATTTCATCCCCAAAAACTGCCCAAAATATATATTTCTACAAAAAAAAACACACACTAGCCTGTAACCAGTAGACCTTAAATAATTGGCACCAGCTTACAGGTGCATTAGTGTATTAACCCAGAGTCTGTTCCCTAATGTTATTGTTCCATCAGGATGTAGATTCAGCATGTTAGCCATATTGCTGACAGCTCCTTCAGGGATGTATTACCTATACCATGGCAGCTTTACAACCTGTAATAGCACTTCTTCTGCTCTTTGCTTGCTCTTCTGACCTTTTTATTTCGTTTAGTGGCTGTGCATCCGTGTCATTGATGCACACAGCAGCAGCAGTTACTGCATGCAAACACAGGGAGGCAGCACCAGCCAGGCTTTCACCACAACAACACAACACTGATGCAAACAGCTGGTGAGACTGTGTGCATAACACCCAGAGGCTATTGAGGATTACCCCCCCCCCATACACACACAGAAACACACATACACTCACACTCCTTCTAATTCAAAAAGGCAGACAAGCTTTAACATGGGTTCACTAAGTGTTCAGGAGGAAAGAAATCGTGTTGGTTTTAAAACCTGCAGAGTCTGCAAATGTCCCTTGAATGTTTTTCTTTACCTGCTTGTAATGTTTTTAGCGGAAAACATGCAACTCATTCATAAAATTCTGCCTCTGTTTGTGCTACATAATGAGCCTGACAAACATTAAACAGCAACTGGTCAGCTCACAGCCACAGACCGCTAATTGGTTTCCATTGGGACTGCTAATAATACAAATTAAGCCATTTCTCACTCAGTGAAGCTGGCAGTGTAGAAACATTTCCCCTCTGTGTAACAGGCTCACATGGGGGAAATAAAACGACAGAAAATTGTGTGTTTTATCCCAGAGAAGTAGTTGAAAGTGCTCTTACTGCACACCTTGTGAAAGCTGAGTCATCCCGGTCTAAATGAGTGAGAAAATTGTTTTTGTTTTTCCTCATGTAGGGGGGTAATGGGGGGGGGGGGGGGGAGTTGAGCAGTTTCCATTGGAGTGAAAGTAGTTGAGCACATGGCAGTTTTAACAGGGCTTTTTTCCAAGCAGCAGACATCTGTGGAATGCAAGTGGTCTGCTCTGCCCTGCTCTTGACACAGCCATTGCCTTTGCTTGTTGCCTGAGTTTGACTTTAAATAGATGACAAAAATTATGACAAGGCTTCAAACGATCACTTTGTTCCACCCAATTGTGCCCTGCTGATGGAAACCACAATAAATCTGCCTCCAGCAGGGCAGGCCTCCCTGACTGTGTTCCCTGCTCATAATGAGAGCCTGCATACAGGCTAACACAAGGGTTAGTCTAATAATGCCGGTGCATGACATTTCAAGAATATCTCCTCCTGTACTTTAAGCAGTGTCCATTCGGTGCACATGTCACCCTCTGTACCTCAGCTCGTCCAGCAGAGACTTTGATATTTTTAGTCCAAGGGGGCTTTGTGCACTCTTCTTTTACCTCTACCGTTTTTGTTTTCCTGGAAGGTGATGGGATTTCTGTGCATACAGGACAAACACACACAGGGAGCTGTGTAATAGTTTGTCAGCCGTTGGTGACAGGAGGAGGAACACATTCATTCTCTGGGTTAGCCAAGGGCAGGGGAGCCCAAGGGTAAAGAGGCCTGTATGAGAGTCTAATTTTAGGCTATTTTTTGTATAAATTCCAGCTTATTTGTCTGGAGACGGCTTGTTTACTGAAACGATTTGTTGTCTCTGATTCGGTTTCACAGCAGTTACATTTATCATGAGCCAAATCGGTTCCTGTCTTCACCCGGGTCATTGTAAAGGTTAACGTATAGTATCAGTCATGGTAAAGTTTAGTGTTACATGTAGGAAATAAATGCCAACCCCCGAGTTAAACCCTCATTAGCAGTGCTTACTTGGGAGTTGGTTTGTGTTTTTAACTGTATATGGTCGTCCGATAACACAAAATCCAACCATGACATTCCTTTGAGTTTCATGTTTGTGAAAAGTGTTGGTTTTTATTCCAAGTCTCAGAGATTTTGACTCATCTGTAAAAATGTTTGGGAATGTTTTTCATTATTTTTGTGTCACATTTTGTGTCAGTTGTCTTAGTTACTGCTTACTTCCATTGATTAATTAAATATAGAGAGAGGGAGGAAAGGTGTCTGACTGATGGACATAAACCCTGACTTTTTTCAAACTTTCCCGATTAGCAGGGTTTTTTATTCATTTTTAATTCTGTATGAGATGTGAGTTAGTCTGAGGCTTTTGTACGAGACTCAGCTCAGTTGAGTATTTTTATGTAACATAGTTCTCATGACTTTTTGCATTGTGTTTTAATATAATCTTGAATGACATCGAGATTATCAACTTGATAATTTTTCAAAGCAGTTGGAACGTCTATTTCTTGTCACCTTTAATAAAATCAAACTCCATTTCCCTTTAGGTCAGATCTGCTGTAATAAAACTTGTTCCAATGTGAAATTACCAAAAGTTTCCTCTCAAAGTTTTCTCCCCAATATCGGTTCCAAACCTGTGGTTCAGGGACACCCAAAGAGTTCAGGTGATGAATCCAGGGGGTCACACTGGTTTACAGAAACAGAACTTTAAACCATGCTGATTTTTTTGCAGGCTTTCCGCTTTCCTTTTTTGGTCATCAACTTGATATTTTTATGTCTCGTGTCCTTTAAGTCACCCTTTGGATTACTGGCCAGTGAAAGGAGATATGCAACCTTTGACAAGGTGCTCTGCAAATAGACATTGCATAGTTTTCAGAGGTCACATGCCAAAAAGGTTCTGAGCTACTGTATGTCAACATCTGTCTGTGTACTCATTATTAAAAAAGATGAAAGGAAGCTCTACAGGTGACTTGGTGAATCATTTATGAGGACTCTTGATTCTTTAGCTCTGACTTTCATCCAGCTAACTGTGCTGCGACTGTACAGGTGAAAACAGAAAGCCTGAGCAATAATCTGCTTAGCTGTATGAATGATCTGCATCCCAAATGTGTCTGCTGCTCCAGGCACGGGCACACCAGGTCATTTCATTTTCAATCAAGTCCTCAGCTGTTTACATTGAGTATGTGTGAGGAAGAGGAGGGGGGGGAGGGGGGGTAACAAATGTAATCTTGAGTCTGTAGATGGCAGCAACACTCTTGGCCAATCTGTCTCAATATAATGGGGGGGAAAAAAGTATTTTGTCATGGCGGTCAAGGGCTGCCAGCCGAAATTGAAATTAATTGGAATATTCCAGCGTGAAGGAAAGAATTCCACTGTGATTGTGAAGTAAAACCATTCCATATGAACACACCTGAGCACTTATAGTACAGGTTAAATGTATGAACAGTCAGTTTTTTTTTTAAACAGTGCTACAGAAATGGATTAATACAGGAAGATTAAAACAAAGCAACAGCCTCTACTTCACCCTCATGATGACTGTGGCTGGGGTCAGGGATAGGCCTCATTATGCAGCAGAGGACGCCATGATGTCACTTTTCTTCTCCTCACTTGGTCAAACTGTAAATGAACTTGCTGAACATGACTGATGATATTTGGCTATTTTTAGTCAGTTATCAACAGTGTTATTAAGCGCTGACTTCACAGTTTTTCTGGTGCGTGTGTGTGTATAAGAAGGCTGCTGATTATGTAAGTCATTTACATTTCTCCCAATTTAAGAGTGACTGGCTCAGCGAAGTGAGAGACTCTGAGCCTCGGTAGCTTTCAAGCTCCCCTCAAGACTTTTTAATTCTGGAGAGCCGTGTGAAATAAAACCTCTCACTGAGCTGCTCCTCGGATTTTAGGAGGTGTCACTGGTGCATCTTTTGAAAAGAAAAAAGAAAAAAAAAGCACATCAGGGTAAAGCTCCTGTGTGCTGACAAGAGGCTCACATGTGGCTCTTATCCCCTCAGCGTGAAGATTCGGCTCCATGGAGCTCTTACGTCACTGGGTCTGTCACTCACTTGCTCACTCAGGCTTATTTCAGCCCTCGCTCGCTCCCCGGAGCGCCTCAACATCTGGCTCTCCATCCTCTTCCTCTTCTGGGTCACGTCACATCCAGGCGGAGCAGCTCCTGAATCCTTCTGTGTCTCCCAAGGTGCTTTGACCAGCTGCCTCTCCATCTTCCTCATGGGGGGTCGGACTGTATTTGTCTTTAGAGTGGGGGGGTCGTGTCCCCAGGGATAACATCAGAGCTGCAGATGGAGACAGGGTGGGGTGTGGAGGGTACGGCCTTGGATGTGATACAACAACAATCACTCATATTTACATAATACCGTTAATATCATCCACAACCTGCGGCACTGAGTAAATACAGAGCATAGGTTATGTTTGGGAGGGATTGGCTCAGACACATTTCGTTCAATAACGTGATGGTAGATGTTATCTGATTAGAAATGAAAGCCAGAAAAAAAGACTTATTTATACATCAGAAAAGGCCAATAGTTAAAGGGACAGTATCCCTTTTAAGTTCCCATCAAAGCTTTGACAGAGAAAAGAAAAAGTTCAGCTTGAACTTCCTGGATAATATTAATAAGTCCATCCCGTTATATTAAATCATTACGTCTTTGATTTGATTTCCAACATTTCACTTCCAACTTTTTTTGTAACCGTTAATTTAAACTTATTTCTTGTCATGATCTGAGAGTCGTATGAAACTCTTCAATAATTCAAGAATTAAAAGTACTTCATTGTTTAACCACAAGTGGTATAGTCAATTGAACTCAATTGATGTTTCCTGCACACCAAATTTGATTCAAATCAGATCAAACATTATCCCCATTTCACAATGAAGTGGTTGTACAGAGCAGAAAGAGAAAGCGTTTCACAGGAAATCTCATATAAACTAAACATAGTGTCCAACAAACATGGCTTAAACAAATAACACT